TAATCAGCCCTTGTTTGTGGGCTATCAGGCATGAGATTACTATTTGTTTATCAAACAATAGAAATGCTATTTGCTCTCCTTGGGTTTTTCTTTTCTACAAATTTTATCCTAACACCTGAAAGCAAACACTTTAGTTGTTTGCTAAGATTAAGATTCCGGTTTTCAAAACAAGGAAGTTATTTTGTTCTCATACCTACCAACGCCCAGGGGAAGGCTAAGTCACTAAGGTTGTTGGTACTAAGTGTGGGCAGGACAAGCCCCTCCCTGCCTGGCAGCTTCCTTGACGGTAATTTGGCTGGAGAGTATGACCACATAAAACACTGCTTTGAGCTTCAACGTCTTAAATCAGCACATGTCCGAGCCAGTTCTCTGAGGGGATCAGGAGTTTTACCAGGAGCCCATTGTGTGCCAGGCACCATCCTGGATTCTGGGGACAGAGAAAAATGAATGGCCCTTTCCCTCAGGGAGCTTGCTTTGTAAAGGGTGATGACAGGTAGAACAGGTACATACTCAATATATTCAAAATAGAAAACAAGATCATTTAGGGGAGCACATACCAGCAGTTAAGGTGGATCAGGAAAGGCTTGTGTTTGAGACAGGGTTCGGAACAGAGCTTTGAAGGAAACAAGGTGGGGGTGGGGGCAGGGCACAGCCTGTGTAAGCTCCCAGGGAAGGTTGATGGAGGTGGTGCTTTGGGGGAATGAGGCGAAGGGCTGCTGATTGGGTAGATTGAAGAGTGCACAGAAGGGAGGAATGTGTTTGCCTGGGGTGCCCCCCTCCAGGTGGAGCAGAGGACCCCCAACCACTGGTGCCCGCCCTCCCAAGCCACCTGGTATTTCACTGCTCAGCATTTTTGTATGTGCTTAGTGGCTTTGCCATTGGAATGTAAGCTCATTGTGAGGGGGATTGTTTGGTTCGTGTGTAGTACTAGGATCTCTGACACCCGGAATGATGCCTGGCAGGCACATCGGTGCTTATGTGACTGAGTAAGACAGAAAAGGTAGGTGGGAGCCATGAAGTACTTTAAATGCTGGGGAGTTACTATTGATTCTCGGTAACAGAGAGCCCCTGCAGGTGACTGAGCCAGGCTGCCACGTGGTTGGCCCTCTGCTGTAGCCATGCCCAAGCTGCGCCCTGCCTGGGAAAGTGATCGTTTGGTAAAATAAACAAAAACCCCAAATGATGCCTGGAATTGAAGACGATACCTAGGGTTTGGTCCAACCACTCACTCGGTTGGAATCCTTTCTTGGCTGCCAGTTACCATGCAGAATAATTTGTTCTTTCAGACTCCTAACTTGGCCTTTGATCTATATGATGACCTGCCTAAGCCACCTCTTCAGACTTGGCTCCTGGTCCCTTACATGGTGCATTTCCTCCTGTCTGCTTGGGTCTACCCTTGCTGTCCCTTGGTGTTTTCCTGTTTGTCTTTGCCGATGGCCTCTTCCTCCTGCCTCTCCTCCTCCTGGAGTGCCTTTTTATTTCTGTAGCGAGTCAGATCTTCCAGACCCAACTGAATTCTGGAGTCACCTGAGCCCCGGGTGATTTTTCCCTGAAGTCATAACAGTGTTGATTCCACTTTGACAGTATCTTATACTTGCTCTGACCTCTGTCACAATGTCATGTTTGTCCTTACAAGTACGCTTGTATTGCTTAACTTTTCATCTTTTTAGGTGTCCATCCAATCTGACTATCATGTCCTTCTGTGATTGCTTGTAGCTGTTTCTATTTCATTCTAGAGCTCCTTTTTAAATTCTAAGCTTAAACAACAAATACAAATAATTTAAGTAAATGAGTTTAGTCGATTTTCAGAATTATCCTGCTTGTCTGTTTCCTTCTGGCCTTCTGTTTCTTCTTTCGTTTAAAAATGTTTGAATGACCTTTTGTTTTTTGGGGGCGACCTTATTGCCAGCCTTCCCTCCCTCCTATTAAAAAACAATTCCTGTGTAACAAATGTGTGGTCAAGAAAAGGAAGCCCCACATCGCTCCTGTCCAGAGATGTGTGTCTCGTCGAGCACCTTGCGTCTGTTGTCTAGTCTGGGAAATGGGGAGCTTGCTTCCTCACTGGCCCTGTGGAACTGTGTGGTTGGTCTTTCAAGGTGGTCATTGCAGATGATAACATTGTTGTTCTCCTGGTTCTGTTCATTTTACTCTATAGTGAGTCTTCCCAAGTTTCTCTGAAACTGCCCCTTTCATTATTCCTTATGGTTACACTAATATTCTGAGTTTCTTTATTTTTTCCTAGTTAGGCTGTCCATGGAGCGAGAAGAGCGCCGACCCTCCTTAGCAGGAGGGAACGTTGGGCATCTTTTCCACTGTCTTCTCAGTCTGATCATGTTGGTGTTTATTAATTTGGGATTAAGTTCTACTGGACAGAGACCTGTTCTCTTTTGAGCATTTAATTGGTTTCTGTGTATTATTTATGGTGTGTACTAAGAGGCTGTGTTTGAAAGGCCTGTTAATTGTTCCCAAGTCTCTGTTTCAATATAACTTTAAATTATTCTGAACTTCAAGCTGTTTTCAAGGATGTACAATCATGAATGAGAACGTTTCATTAATATCAAGAAATAAATGTGCACAAGGCTGACTTGGTGAGTTCACATTCCTGAAACGGCAGGAAAAAAAGACCTGGATGTTTTCCGCTTTGGGCCGCACAGTGGGATTCTCCACACCAGATCTTGGTTTTCTTCTTATTGACGTTGCCACTTCCCTCTTTACGCACATTAGAAAATCCCTTGGAAAGAAGACGTTCGTCTCTTCCTCTGTTTTGTGGTAGAAAGAATGGTGGGTCTTGGAGTCGTGACCTTGGGCAAGCTATCAAACCTTGCAGAGTCCCTGTCCCTTTATCTGTAAGGGGAGGACTGGATGACCTCGAAGGTCCCTTCCGGCTCTGAAATCATGGCTGGTTGAGGGTCAAGGATGGCCAGCTTCCTGGCCACTCACCGAGAAGGCTCTTCACGACAGAACTCTGGCTTCATTGTTTTGTTGGAAGTGAGTAGTTGCAGTCCAACAGCCATTTGGAACGCTCAGCGATTCAGTGATACTCCAAGAGTGGAGGGAGCTTGGAAAGCCCTTGCCTACGTGTATGCAGGGGGCCTGCACCGCAGAGTGGGAGTCCTCTTCTCCAGCTCCCTCGCCGTAACTGTGAATGTAATACGTACTTACAGACACGTGTACAGATGCCTGTGTTAGACTGTTTGTCCCTTCTTTCATAGCGTTCACTTTGGCTTCTCGTCCCCATCTCTCACAGTCACAGAATGGGAGCTGGAAGGGGGTCTGCAGTTGACCCGCCAGCTCCAAAAGCGGCCCATTATGCTTTTGCAGAGCTCTGGGTTTTAAGAAGTTGTTCCTTATGCCTAAATTTCCCTCTTTAGACGTTCTGGCTTTTGCTCCTAATTCATTCTTTTGAGGCTAAGCAGAGCAAGGCTTTTTAGTTCTTAAAATGGGTGTTTGAAGCTCCTTACGATGTTTTCTTTTTTACGTTATTGTTCTGATTCTAATTAATCCTTGTATCTGTTGATACAAGTGTTCTCCTCTCTCTCTCTTCCACTCCCCTGGTTTGAGTTCAAGGCTCCCCAGCACACTGGGTCATGGGTCGTCATTTGGCAATCCAGAGCTGGAAGGGATTGAAGAGACTGAAGGCTGGGATGGTGGAGGACTGCCTGGGTCACCCACCTGATGAATGGCAGCTGCCTCTGGGCAGGCCCACGGCATAACAATGTGGTGCCTTGTCCGGAGCACAGTACTTGGGTCCAAGAAGAAACTCTCTCACTTCCAAACAGCCCCCAGAGCACCTCTTGCAGAGCAGTCTTCACATCCCGTCACTTGGGGAGTGTCCATTGTACAGTGTGGACTCACACGGATGGCTTGCTTGTTAGCAAACCCCGTACCCCGTTCCCCAGACCCCACTAATCTGCGAGCCTGGCCTCGTGTGACTCGTTCTCAGGGGATCCAGGCTGACTCTTTTCTACCTGTTCGTTCATTCTTCCTTTAACATCGGCTAGAATCAAGCTGAGAAGCGAAGTCTCAGTCTTGGGGCGTTCCAGAACACTTGCTCCCCAAGACTGCCCCTAAGCCAGCTCTAAAGGGAGGCCCAGTTTTCCAGGGGTAACCTCACTGCCTCGCTCTGCCAGAGCCTCTCTGGTAGGTTTCTGTCCCCATTCAAAGGTGACTTCTTTCTTGGTCCCTCCCAGAAATTTAATTTAATTATTAATCTGTTTAGAAATTTTGCCTGGGTGCAGTGGATAGAGCACTGGCCCTGGAGTCAGGAGGACCTGAGTTCAAATCGGGCCTCAGACATATAATACTCTCTAACTGTGTGACTCTGGGCAAGTCACTTAACTCCAATCACCTCACCAAAAAAAAACCAAAAACAACAAAAAGAAATTTTGCCTGGGCTCCGCATCAAGCGCTACCTTCATGTTTTCTTCCCCGTTGTATTTGAGCCCATTTTTTCCTGAATGTCCTTGGATTTTGTGTTAGATTTCCTAGATGGTTTTGACCTGTAACCCAGAGGGACAGAGGTCATCCAGACCGTGGCTCACTGGGCTGGAGAACTCTGGGCTCCTGGGTGGAGAGCCAGGCTTTCCCCGTTGGTATTTGGGCAGTCAAAAGTCACTGGTAGATCTGGGTGGGTTTCCTGACCCAAATACACCTTGATCTGCCTAGTGCCAGGGAGGGGATGCAGATTTTACTTTCTCTTAACCACCTGTGTGGTTGTTCATTCTTTCAGTGAGCACGATCAATTGTATACTGATAGACTTATGAGGCCCCTTCTCCAGGTCCTCAGGCACTTGGGTTAGGTATAGAAATGGGAAGTTTGAGGTTGTTAACATGTTGTAACAGATCCCACGATAAGCGAAATCGCTCCTTTGCCCACTCAGCTGCTTGTCCATCCCTGTGGAGGCAATGTCCTGAGTTGCTCTGTTAACTTCCCCTGCATTTCTTCCTCTTTTTGATGCCTGAGAACCTGCTTTTGTCTTTCTCCCTTTGTCTGCAAACAGTCGGAATGCCAGGATGCCCTGGAAATGGCAGCCCGAGTAGAAGGCCTCTCACTGGACGTCTCCATGCATTCCCAGCTGAGATTCCTGGACAGTGAGCATCCCAAGGGGAAATACCACCATGGCCTAAGCGTCCTGAAACCCTTTCGGACTACTTCCAAGTAAGAACTTGGGCTGCTCACCCCCTTCAGTGATGGAGTGCCAGAGGCCTTTTTAATTAAAAAAAAAAAAAAGGTTTTATTTAGACAACTGGGAACAGTATTAGATGATTTGGAGGCCCAGTGTTGTCTGCAGTGGGGGGCTTTTGTTGGCTGCTGCTGCACTCTAGATGTCTGGCTTGTTTGCCATTCTGGTGATTTTTTTAAACGTTTTCTCTCCATAGACACCAGCACCCAGTAGACAATGCTGGGCTTTTCTCCTATATGACCTTTTCTTGGCTCAGCCCTCTGGCTCTCGTGGCTTACAAGAAGGGGGAGTTATTAATGGAACATGTGTGGTCTTTGTCCAAGCACGAGTCTTCTGAAGTGAACTGCAGAAGGTAGGAGCCTCTGGTCCACCCTCGTCCTCCCTCCCTGCATCTGGATGCAGCCCTTGGGCCTTTAGCAGTCAAGCTAGCCTCTTGTGGGGTTGGGCGGGAAGGTGGCCTGGGCTCCCCCGGGATCTTTGCTTTGATCTTCTTGACCTCCTCTTCAGCTCTTCTCTCTGTTTTAACCAAGGGCTTTCTCTCTCTCTCTCAGCCCCGCTTCTCCTGAGTCGGCAGGGAGGTTATGTTGCTGCATTGGGTGGTAGCCGCGCGCTACGATAAACATTGAGTTTTTGGTTTTACGCTTTACTGCAGGATCCTTCAGAAAGGGATGGGGACCCTGGAGAAAGGAGGAGGGTCTTGTCCCCAGCCCCATTATCCTCAGGACTAGTTGTGATGGGTGGAGGAAAGGGCTTTGGGCTTGGATTTCTCTAGAGATTCCAGAGAGAGGGTGCTTCCCGGGGCAGACTTGTAGTTGCCCGGGACAAGCCTGTGCAGGTGAGACTTTGTCCTTCAGTCCCGGGAAGGAGAGTTTGTCAGTCCAGTCCTGAGGGAGCTTAGGGTCGGTGTCCTCCCTGGGAGAGATGGGTAACGGAGGACCTGTGCCCTTGTCAAGACTAGAGAGGCTGTGGCAAGAAGAGGTGAACGAAGCTGGGCCTGAGGCTGCCTCCCTCCGAAGGGTTGTGTGGATCTTCTGCCGCACCCGGCTTGTCCTTTCCATCGTGTGCCTGATGATCACGCAGCTGGCTGGCTTCAGCGGACCAGTAAGTCAGACCCATCCTTTCTCACAGTCACCCAGGGCCCGGCACCTGGCCAGCGCTAACGTTCTCCAGTTCCATTGCAGGGCTTGCGCATCCGCTCGGGCTAGTTAGTGACTTTTAGGGAGCCCTCAGCCTGTGGAAGGGAATGACTGTGGTTGGCGTGAGTGGCGGTCTTTCCGTAGCCGGTGAACCCTTCCCTGGATGGACAGGCAGAAGGATGGAAGGGCCGGGGTGCTGCAGAGGGAGCCCGGCTCCTCTGAGGGTGAAGCCCTGTGGTTGTGTTTTGACTGGACCATCGTCTCTGGTAGCGTGTGTTGGCATTGAGTGAAAATCTTGGTTTTGGAAGTCAGGGTAGTGAGGCCGAAAGCAGAGGTGGGCTGTGAGGCTGCCTGGCTAGCGAGCGAGTGAGCCCCGCTCGAGGGGCTGGCCTGAGAGGCTGTCATCGGTGCTTCCCCGGGCCGGCCACAGAGCCTGGCTCACCGGAGCTGCCGGGTTGCCGTGGAGCCGGTGGGGCCGAAGGCGCGGCAGTGGCCAGGTGGGCGCTGCCAGCCGCTCCTCTGACACTGACGCCTCCTCCCTGGTCACCGGTTTTGTGCACCTGCCGTGCCGATTGTCAGTGGAGACCTTGATTAAGTTGATTCTCCACCAACTTGCCTTGAGGCCCAGGAGCAGTAATACTGCTGTAGTGTGCCTTGCCCAGGTGGGGTAAGCTGGAGGTTCGTGACCTGGGTAAGTACCCACTTGCCGTGCATGGTGACCTAGGCTCAGGCACTTCCAGGTGGTTTTGTTCCTTGTTAATTGTAATTCAGAGTTTTGCCCTGTTCCCTGGAACAGAGAATTGCTTTTCTTGACGGTAAAAATACTTTGGCGTAAATCAGAGCCCGCGGTGCCGTGTAACCGGGTGTAATGTCATTGACCATACTCAGCAGAGGTTTAAATAGGACTGACCGTCTTCCCCAAGAAGAGCTTCTGTCATTGCTTCACTCCAGGGGCTGGGAACTGCGCTCCTCTGGCGTGCGGAGTTCCCTCAGCGGGGCGCCCTGCTAGTCCCCTCCTCCCGTTCTGATTCGGGCTCTCCCGGCTGGATGGCCAGTACAGGTCATGTCGGGGAAACATCCAGGCGTTGTGGGGGCTCTTTTCTAGTGCATGTTCAGTCGACTTGAACCCCTGCATAGGTGTTCTCTCAGGCCAAGTGCATTGGGGCACCAACTTTGGGTCAGCCCATCCATTCACCAGTAAGATCTGAGAGCGCTCTCACTTTTCAGAGGGGGGAGTGTTCTCCCTCCACCTGCCAGCTCTGGTAAGCGGTGCTATCTGGCCAGAGCTGTCTAGCTAACATCCCATCCTTGTGCAGAAGGAAATCCTTGACAGCCCAAGGCCGGGCCGCGTCCACTCATGCTCAAAATATAACTAATGGAAACATTTGGTACAGATTTAGACCTGAATTGCCATTTTAAGAAATGGAAATGTCAGTGAGCGATGCCAGGAGTGAGGCCAAGAATGTGCATTGGCACTGGGCACAGGTGTATGCCCTCCTGCATCTCTTTTTTGGGGGTGCACCCATTTGGATCTTTGGGCACACTTTTTTCCAACTTGAATAAACTGAAGCCTTAAGCTAGAATGTGCGAAAAATTTGTCTACCAGTCATGCAAAGTGTCTTTATTGCCTTCCCTCCACTGGGCAACGGATAGCCTGTCATTAGGCCAAGACACAATGAAACCCAATGCTTTTTAACCTCTGGCTTCCTTACTCTGGCTTTTTTTCAAGCTAATGAGCTCATCCCAGAGGCATTGTGGGTGTCTTCGTGCCAGAATGGCTCTCCAGGGGCTTCTGAAGCCCAGCAGTGTGGGTGGAGAGATGGCCACTGTCTTTAAGATGTGACGGTCCTGGCCTGTGGCACCCCGCAGTGCCCGATGCCTCTGCTTTTCAGCGGCACTTTTTGAGCCTTTCTGGATCAGTTGCCCTCTCAAATCCAGTCCTGCCCAGGGACTCATGTGGAAAGGCTTAGCATTCACCCTGTAGATGTTGGGGGGCTGCCTCTCACAGTGCTCAATGAATGCTAAGTCTCCTCTGGGGGCCTTTTAGGGGAAGGGAGAGTGGGAAGCCATTAGAGGTAAGTCTCCCACTCTCCCCCCTGTCCTCGGCTGCTCGTTTGGGGCGGTCAGGTGTTGGATGTTGGGGGGCGGGGGAGGCTCTCTCTGTAGTGGGACCAATGACAGAAGCTGTTCTCTAGAATTTTCAGGATGGCTGTAGCCCGCGGTCAGAATGAGAGAATCAAGCTGGGTGGAGTCTCTCGCCAAGAGTACAGGTAAGGTCCTGTTTCCTCACCGGGAATGCTTCCCAGAGCCAGACCCTGAATGCTGCCAGCCTTGCTAACAACCTCAACTTTCTTCCAGTTTATTTAAGTTTAAATGATAACGCTGTGACTCTTTTTCTTTTTCTAAGTTTTGGTTGGATTTTTTCATGAAAACTTTTCATTTTGATCTCATACTGAAATGGTTTGAAATGTAACTTTTGAAACCTGAATGTGTTTTAGAAGCTCTTTAATTTACTGTTTGCTCTTTTTTCCCTTTGAACATTTTACATAGTCTAAGCCTTTGTGTCTCTTAACTGCCTTTTTCCTCCCTCCCCTGATCCTGGGAGGTGCTGAATATTGGCATTTGGGCAGAGGTGTTTAGAAGGAAAGAGCCCAGTTCACCAGGCTGCTGTCTTTTTCGCCTTCCCTTGGAGGAGACTGTTGGCAACAATCACGTGGTGTTACTGCCCTGCCCGCTTACTGAGTCACTTCACAGGAGGAAAAAGGGGCTTTGGCCCTAACCACTCAGTGACTCAGTTCCACATGTTGGATTGAATGCTGGAAAAGAAGCCAATCTCCTCCCTAGTAAACCCACGACCCAACTGTGTGCAGTTGTGACCCCAACACTGGAGGCCAGCCTGAAACCCAGGGAGGGGACAGGTGGAGTACACTAGCTGAGTGTGAAACCTATTCCATCCTGGGAGTATCCTAGAATCTAGTGGACGTGCGGCACTAATGAGAAATACCAAATTATCCAGGAGGAATTCTGGGCATCGCGTTAGCCCCCCAGGGAAACCGCCCCTGCCGGCTCCGTTTTCCCTTGTCCTTGGGTGCAGGCTCACAGCTGCAGCTCTCTTTGTTACCCTAGTGAGTTTTTTCTTGTTCAGTGAGGTTTTCTTTCTTCACGGGTTGGGGGCGTGGCTTGTTTCTTTCTTTCTTCTTTTTTTCCTCCCCCAAGATCTGTTTTAGCTGCAAAGACTTGAAAAGACTGTGAAGGGTGTCCATCTGGCCCCAGTGCTTTGGGGGGCCTAGAGTTCAGGGATCCTTGCACGGCAGCCCAGGGAGCTCCTCGGGCTCTTCCTGAACCAGTAGCCCCGGCCACTGGGAGCAGGGCAGCTCTGGAGGGAGTGTTGTTAGAGCCTTTGCAGCGAGGTCTTAGCGGGAGCAGGTTTTCCTCCACCCTCTTGCCAAGCCCCTGCAGCTCCGCCCTGCAAGCTATGAGCAGGGGCTGCTGCCACCAGCTCCCCGTCCTCCCCGCAGACTCTTGTACCCACTGTGTGTGTACCTAAAGAACAGTGTCTAGGCCTCCTGTTAGCTGCCAGCCCTGTACAACACTCTGTATGTTTACACTGTATGTGACTGCAATGCTCCCCTTGTACAGCCTTGTGACATACTCTCTGAACATGGTCCTTGTGTTTTTTTATTTTCAATAAAAGTGCGTTACTCCTCAGTTGCTGGTATTTAATAGTGCTGCTGAATGTGCCTTGTGTGAGTGTGCGTGTGCTCCCGCGTCACAGGCCCCAGCGCTGCGGGCGGCCAGCCGCGGTCCTGCTTTCCCTCTGCAGGTGGTGTTGGGGATATGCTACCTGAGGTAACATGGTTTTGTTTCGGGGAGGGCCTCGGGAGCGGGGCGGGCCCGTGGGCGGGAAAGTCTGTTTTGTCTGCCTTGCACTACTATGCCATTAAATTGCTGATGTTTATTTTCAGGAATATTTTGCAAATGTTCTTCTCACTCTTCCCCAGTACAACTGTAGGTACACTGTTCCTTTTTATCAACTAAGCACGTTTGAAACAATCCAAAAAGGTCTTAATTGCACTTTAAAACATGTCTTTTAATGTGTGAAAATCTGGTCGATCTTATTTTAAGAGTGAATCTGCTTCGTGTTCATTTTAGCTCGTGGACAGGTTTATGTTAAGTTAGAAGACGTGATGGTTTTAGATGGTGTTCTCTAGAAGCAACAGGGTCTCTAGTGCAGCCCCCACCCTGTGAAATGCCCTGAACTGTTTCCTGGGGCAGGGAGGTCTCCACACAGGAATATTGGTCTCTGGGATGGATTCTCTCTCTCGGCTTGAGCGAGAGCCTCCCCACTCTTTCTAACTTAACACAAAACTGTTGAGTTGCATGGAGAGAACCGAAGAGGCGTTCACGTGCGCCTGTGTTTCTCCCTGTAGGCCTTTATGGTGAAACATCTCCTGGAGTACACGCAGGGGACAGAGTCCAACCTCTCATATAGTTTGCTGCTAGTCTTGGGTCTCTTCCTGATGGAAATTATCCGTTCTTGGTCACTGACGTTAACATGGGCATTGAACTACCGTACCGGGGTACGCCTGCGAGGGGCGATCCTGACCATGGCATTTAAGAAGATCCTGAAGCTAAAGAACATTAAGGAGAAGTCTTTGGGGGAGGTGAGTGGCCTGGCCTCTTCTCCAGCACCGTTGTTTCCCCATGTTTTCTCCTGCCTTCACGTGTCGGGTCTTTGTTGTTGACCAAGGCGTCCTGTGGCTCCTTTGTTTCTCAGCTCATCAACTTGTGTTCCAGTGATGGCCTGAGGATGTTTGAGGCCGCAGCGGTGGGCAGTTTGTTAGCGGGTGGCCCCATCGTGGCTATCTTGGGCATGGTTTATAACGTAATTATTCTGGGACCAACGGCCATCCTAGGATCACTTGTTTTTCTCCTTTTTTACCCAGCAATGGTGAGTAAACAGTCTAAATAGACTCAGCTCCTATCTTTATTCTGGTGGTTTCTCGTTGTGGATTCAGTTGCTTTAATTGGGTTTTTAGATTTTGAGGCTATTAATGCTTAGACTGGGAACTTCCCGGAAGCAGGTGGCTCTTTGATTGGAGCACCTAGAGTTAGAATATTGGCCTGAGCAGAAGTACGGAGACTTTGGAGGAAAGCCTTGGTGGTTGAGCAGAGGAGGCAGCCAGGAGGCCTCTGGCAGGACTCTGCTCCTTAGTGGTGGCAGGAGGAGACCCACCCAAGTGGCTCGGCCTGGCACAGCCGCTGTTCCTCGGGCCTTGTGATAGTTTGACAGCGAGTGAGTCTGCTGCTTCAGTGCTCGGGTTCAAAGAGGCCTCGGCTTGGCACGGCATCTTTTCTCCTTTCAGATGTTTGTTTCAAGGCTCACTGCCTATTTCAGAAGGAAAGCTGTGGCTGCCACAGACGACCGAGTACAGAAAATGAATGAAGTTCTCAACTACATTAAATTTATTAAAATGTATGCTTGGGTCAAAGCATTTTCTCAGAACGTCCAAAGTGAGTATCCAGAAAGGGGGTCTTCTAGACCTCAGTTGTAGGGAAGGTCTTTATTGGGGTGGTTCTCCAACCACTTGAGGGAAGGGAGGGTTCTCAGGGCTTTTTTTTTTTTTTCTTTTCAAATTTTTTTTTTATTTTGAACTTAAATAATAGAACTTAAATATAAAGTAAGAAAAAAAATGTCATGTGCACAGAATATAAGAGAGGACTCAAAATGTACAGCAATAAATTGCCACTTCAAGAAAGCCTATATAATAAATACTACGCATTGTGTTTAGAGCTGTCCATCTTTTCTTTGCTTCCTTGCAGATTTTCTTTTGTTCTCTGCTGCGCATTTTTTACTTTGTTCTTTTTTTCTAAATCCACTAACTCGTCATTTCCTACACCACGGCAATATTCCAACCCTATGCTGTCTAGTTATTTTAAATAGTCTAAAACAATATTGATTAATATGGCTGATATATAGTGTGGCTTCCCTATTTTTCTCTTTTGATTACATCTATTTTAGTTTTAACTTTGTCTGAGATCATGATTACTACCCCTGCTTTTTTTCCCTAATAAATTCTATTCCTGATCTTTATTTTATGTTTGTGTATAGCTATATCCTTTCCCTCCTTACTCCTCTACTTTACTACTACCCACTACCTTGCCTTCCTATTACTTAACTTACCCCCTCTCTAAGGATCCCTCCCTTATTCTCCCATTCCCATTAATCTAAACACCCCCATCCTATTCCCTCATTCTCCCCTCTAAAAATCCCTCCCTTACCCCTTCCTCTCTCTGTATCCCCTTAGCCTTTTATTTTTTTCTGAATTTAGAAGACTTTTATACTTTTCTAAATATATATGTATTGTTCCCTCTTTAACCCATTCCTGATGAAAATAGGATTACAGAACTACCAGCTCTTCTCCCCCATCTAATTCCTCAATGTCACTTCTTCCTCTCACACCTCATTTGTATAAGATAATTACTCTTTTTACCTTTTCCTAAGCGGTTTTATTTTTTATAATTCTATTATACTCAGGTCTACTCCAGTCTTTCTTTTGAACTGCCCAGTTAATAACAGTCTTAGACATACCTTTACATTTCCTCAGATAAAAAGTAAACAGTGTCCTTATTGAGTCCCTTGTACTTAGTCTTTGATGTGTACCTTGTATTTCTCTTGGATCTTATATATCAAATCTATTAAGTTCAGGATTTGTTTTTTGTTTTTTCTGAAAAGTCTGGCAACTCATTAAAGTCCATTTCTTTTCATTCAGGATTATGCTTAACGTTGGGTATGATATTTTCAGCCACAACTCTAATTCGTTTGCTCTTCTATATATAGTGTTCCAAGTCCTGTGGTCTTTTAATGTCACTGCTGCTAGGTCTTGTGTGATTCTAATTGTGGCACCATCATATTTAAATTATTTTTTTCTCGTTGCTTGTAATATTTTCTCCTCGAGCTTGGGGTTTCAGAATTTGACTATAATACTCTTGTAGGTTTTCCTTGTAAGATCTCTTTCAGGTGGTGATCAGTGGATTTTTTCTGTTTCTACTTACCCCTCTTGTTCTAACACTTCAGGACAGTTTTCTGTCGTTATTTCTTGTATTATTGTATCAAGATTGTGTTTTTGGTTGTAGCTTTCACGTAGTCTTCTACTTTGAGGTGAGTATTCTTGTGTTTTCTCTTCATGATCTCCTGTTCTCCAGATCAGTTGTCTTTCTTATGAGATGTTGCATATTCTTTTCTATTTTTTCATTCTTTATATTTTGCATTATTATTTCTTGGTCTCATAACTTTGCTGGCTTCTCCCTGCCCAATTCTGATTTTCAAGGGATTGTTTTCTTCCTTAAGATTCTGAATCTCCTTTTCTAATTGATTGACTTTCTTTTCATAATCTTCTTGTTTTTTCTTGGATTGTCCTTATTTTTTCTTTAATTTTTCCTCATTCTCTCATTTGATTTTTAAAGTCTTTTTTAGGTTCTATGAATTCTTTTTGGACAGGTGACCATTTAACATTGTTCTTTGGGGTAGGAAAGGCTTTTTTTCCTTCTGTATCCTCCTCTGAAGATGAACTCTGATCTTCTCTATTCCCACAATCAATCACTTTCTGTGGTTGTTGGAGTCTTTCTCCTTTGCCTGCTCATTACTTTTTATTTGTAGCAGCTTATTTTTTGCAGTCACCTCTAGTCTTGGGGTAAGGGTGGTGCCTCTGGCCTCAGATCTTCCTTCAGTTCTCTCTCTGGCCTGGAACTGAAACCAAGACCTCTAACCTTCTGTAAGTTCCCATAGCCAGTGGCATCCCTGCCCCATTGCTTCTGCACTTCCCTAGCATGTGCTGGTTCCTTCTTGCCCAGGACTGTGTCTCAGCAGCACAGCTGGGTCTGTCTTCCTTATCAGCAGAGGTTCCCTTAATCTTCCCTGGCTCAGATTCAGGCTCCCTAGACTGGCTGGGAAGTGAAAGTTGCTGTGACTGAGGCTACCCCCCTAGTCCAGCGGGCCCCCTCACCCACCCACCTTGCTGCTTTAAGTGGAGCTAACCTGGAGGCGTTTACTCCTCACTGGGACCAAACCTTGGTTCTGGGATTTTTCTTTGGGTCTTATCCCAGTTGTCCCAGGAGGACCACCGTTGTGCCACAACTCTTGTTTGTTTTCACTGCTCTACATTCTCCCTGAGGTGCTGTTTTGTCTTGTTTGTGGGGGAAATCTAGAGACCTTGGAATTTTCTGACCTGTTCCCACCATTTCCCAAGGATCAGGTTTGAAGCTGTGAATTCTGGTAGTCATTGGGTCACGGGACCTTAGGGTGAGAAGTATCCTTAAGGAGGCTTCTGCCCTATTCCCACCTTGTTTTACAAATGAAAACATTGAGACTTGGCCAGAGCAACCTGATGAGGTCAGGGTTAGAACTGTTGTCAGTGACCTTTCTCTCCCAGCACTCAACTTCATAGAGGAGGTCCCTTCTAAATCTCTGTCCAGTAAGAGCTAGAGAAGCAGGGCGCAAATTCTAGTAAAATACTTGTCCAAGTCTGTGACATCCCCATGACTTGATGGATTTGTGTGGCCTGTGGGAGGCCACATCTCTGTCACTTGCACTGTCCTTGTCCAGTATTTCTCTGGACTTGCTCAAAAAAACACTGCCACATCTGCATCTCTGTCAGAATTTGGAATGAAACAAAATTAATGCATTGGGACACAGTGGCCAGAATCCTGGTTCACAACCGGTTGTTAATGTCAGGTTCTGCATTGAAGGTCAGCGGACTGACTGGAAGTGGGTGGGATAGGAAATGCCATGACAGTGCTTGAGTTGGCAGTCCTGGAAATTCTGGGCTCACAGAGCTCCATCAGGGTGTATCTATGTAAAATAAAGGTTGGGCTGCAGCGATGGAAGATGGGTCAGGCCAAGCTTCTCTTAAATTCTGTATCGAAAGGCCTTCCTTTGTTAGGCAGGGGCACGGTGAGGGGAGACGTTCGTCTTTATCAATCCACACTAGAGCCCATCAACGAGGAGTGGGAAGAGAGTTAGATGTGGGGCCCAGGACCTGGATGAATGCTGGCATTTACTGCTCAGGTGACCCTGGGCCTCAGTTTCCTAATTGGTCAAGTTAAGTAGTTAAACCAGATGATCTTGAAGGCCCCTTCCAGCTCTGGATCTCTGATGCCACAAACGTGATGATTGATTTCTGAGAGCCGTGGGCAACAAAGCTTTTCACTCACAGTGCCTTTGGCACGTGACCTTGATAGACGGTCTGGGTGTGCCAAGCAGATCTTGTCCCCAAATCTCCCTTTGGCTCCTTGGTGATCGATCTGACAGTTTGCTTTCTCTTCCTAGAAATCCGAGAGGAGGAGCGCAGGATTTTAGAGCGGGCTGGTTACTTCCAAAGCATCTCTGTTGGGGTAGCTCCCATTGTGGTGGTCATCGCCAGTGTTGTGACATTTTCTGTGCACATGATCTGTGGCTACGATCTCACTGCTGCTCAGGTGAGCGGGCTCTCCTGGGCCCTAGGGAGGCTTCAGAAACTCAGGCACATCGTTGAATACTGCAGTCCCTCGAGCCAAGGGCTGGAGAAGGGCTCTCCTCTGGGCACAGGGACGAGTGTGGTGTAAGGGGGGTTGGGAGTAAAGCTTCTTTATGATTTGGACCCTCCCTTCTCACCCTCTACAACAGTGACTGTGAATTTTGTTTTTAAAACTCTTTTGGTAATTGTATTTCAAGATAATTGGTTTCCTTTGTAATCATAAGTATCTTATGCTTTTAAAAACATTGCACTGAGAATTTGGAAATCAAAATTTTAAAGAATGTTGAAATTTTTTTACATATAATTGGAAAGTATTTAATGAAATAAAAGTAATAAAAATTTTAAGAAAACATTGCTCTGAGAATGGATCCCCATGCTTCACCAGGTTACCCAAAGGGTATGTGCTCCTGCATTATGGACATGGGGGTCTAGATTGCATCTGGTTCATGAAGAGTTAAGGTTGTGTTTTCCTGTGTCTCTTATTCTCTTGTTCTTAGGCTTTCACAGTGGTCACTGTCTTCAATTCGATGACATTTGCTTTGAAAGTGACCCCGTTTTCAGTGAAGTCTCTCTCAGAGGCATCTGTGTCTATTGAGAGATTTAAGGTACGTTGCCCTTCTGCCATCTTGTCGTTCCCCCGGTGCCAGTGTCTCAGTTAGTGCCCTCTGCCTTCTCTTCCATCTTGGCCCTGGGGTCTGCACTTGGATCAGCTGCTGTGGTGACCACATCGCCTCAGATTTTCCTAGGGAAGCTGAGCACCCAGACTTCCTTTAGTTGCTTTCTTCAACTCCAGCTTGGATTCCCCTCCCCCTTGCTATTCTCTGTCCCTCTCCCCCACATCCTCCCTCGGAGAGAGGCCTGGCCAGTCAGTTGCAGGGAGGATGGCGAGATGGCTGCCACTGCTGCCCGCCTTCTGGACCTGGGCCCGCTTCTCCTGATGCAGTCCAGGGTCAGGGTGGCTCTCTTCAGGTGCCACCTTTGGGCTCAGTCTGGCAGGAAAGGTCACAGCAAGTAGAAACAGCTAAGGAGGAGAGAGGGAGGTCAACAAGATGACCATTTAGAGCTGCCCAGGTTGCCTTGTTTTGCAGATGGGGAAACTGAGGCTCAGAGGCTAAGTGACTTGTCCAAGGCCACCAAGTCCCCTACGTTGCTCTGTTATTGATAGGAAGCATTCGAGAAAGAAGTTTAGTGTTTCAGAACAGTTAGTTTGAAGGAAAGAAAAGTATAAACAGTACTCAGAGCTCTAGAAGGAAGGCTTATGCTTTGAGTTTCTCTATTTGAAAATAATTCTGTCTGCTGAACTGGACTGGTGCTAGATTGGCATCTCCCTAGGCTCTTTCTGCCAAGTCTAGGCTAAGCAGAGGATCCTTACCTAAATGGTTTCTTAGAACCAAGGATTCTTTATAACAGAAACCCAAACCCTCTGTAGGGAAAGCAGTGGGGCACAGGGGAGGGTTACTGCTGCCAGGGTCAAGGTTCCTGTCCTGAGGCCGAGTGCTCCTGGTTCAGGTCTGAGCTCGACACAGTGCGTTCTTGCGCTCTTCTCTGTAGGGCATAAGAGGGCTAGGCCATGCCAGGGTCCTCACTTTGTAGAAAAGCCAAGCAGAGGTTGGAACGGAGGAAAAGCAAGCTTAGGACACCCCGTGCTCTAGAATCCAGGGTGACGGGCCTGCCACTGCCCGGGGCTGCCAGCTTGCGGCCTGCCCTCCTTTCTCCTCCCCTTCCCCTCGGGCAGGTGGAGGGGGCAGGGCAGTCTGGGCTGTCCTTGCCTGCTGATCTCATCCCTTGCTCTTGTAGCATGCCACCTGCCAACGTTCACGCTTGTCTGTGAGAGAAGCCGCCGACCATACTGCCCCGCCCGATGACCAGTGGCAGCGCCCAGGGCCCGCAGCGGGCCGCGCTACTTTCCACTGCTGGGGCGTTTTTGCTCTTGAGCGCCGTCCCGTTCTCTAGCGTGCTGTGTTCTGCTTCATGAGTGTGCCCCTAGGCTTGTGTCCCCGGTCTTGATTGAGTGTTCCATCTTTGCACCTCTCTCACGACTCCTATCAGAGTTTATTTCTAATGGAAGAGGTTCACATGGTAAAGAACAAACCAGCCAGTCCTCACATCACGATAGAGGTGAGAAATGCCACTTTGGCGTGGGACTCCTCCCACTCCAGTATCCAGAACTCTCCAAAACTGACGCCCAAAATGAAAAAGGGCAAGAAGTCCGCCAAGGGCAGGCGAGAGAAGGCCAAGCTGCCGCACGTGGAACAGCAGCAGGCCGTGCTGGCCGAGCAGAAGGGCCACCTGCTGGTGGACAGCGATGATCGTCCCAGCCCGGAAGAAGAGGGCAGGCCCATCCGCCTGGCAAACCTCCGCCTTCAGAGGACTCTGTACAACATCGACCTGGAGATTGAGGAGGTAAGGCCCCCAGGTGGGGCTTGGTGCAGGCGGGGGCCAGGAGCCACGGGGCTGGTTGTGAAGGTCTTTGGACCACAGGAGCCAGGAGCTAACTAATTGCACCCAGTTGGTGGTCCAGAGTCCTCTCTTCTCCAGCTCCTGGCCCGGTATTGTCAGTCTGTCTTCCATGGCTATGTCTTAGGATAGAACTCTTTGTCCCCGGCTTGGACAAGTCCAGATTCTGACAGCAGTGCCTTATTTTACGTTATGTGCAAGGAAAGTCCCTGAGCACACGTGAGTCATTACCGTGTCTTTCAGACACGAAGGCAGTTATTCAGGGCAGAAGGGAGCCCAGATCCCAGCCTCTGGTTTCTGTGCCTACTCAGATTGGTGTTCAGGATCAGGCCCGTTTCTTCCCAGAGGCAATTCCCCTGAACTCGTTCCCCCCCTCACCTCCTGTGTAGTGTGGGCGTGCTGCCTGCTGCCCAGGAGGCCCTGCAGAGCTTTGTAGAACAAGTCTCTCTACAGTCATTACCCCAACAAGTGTCTTCAGTCTTATTTCTTTTCTTTTTTTCTTTTCTTTTTTTTTTTTGCTTAGGCAGTTGGGGTTAAGTGACTTGCCCAAGGTCACACAGCTAGTAAGTGTCCAGTGTTTGGTCTGAGGCCAAATTTGAACTCAGGTCCTCCTGACTTCAGGGCTGGTGTTCTATTCACTGCTCCACCTAGCAGCCCCTTCAGTCTCATTTCTTGTCCCTGGTGGGAAAGTTAGCCATTCAAAGCACATTTGTTGCCCCTGTCCTGGCGCCTCTGTGTTTGGAGCTAGAAGAGAGGATCGTCCCAGCTTGAGATTGGCAGCTAAAGTAGTCGTTCTGCCCTCAAATAAAGACAAGTGAAGTTAAGGAAAGGTTCCCCAGACATCTGATTTTAAAAGGACATGTGTAAAAACTTTGAAACCTTACGTTGCTTTATGCTTTTGCAGGGGAGGGAAAGATGGATATGAGTGTTTTTTAAGATGCTTTTGCTAATATTTAAGGGAAACGCGAACTAACCAGCCAGCGCTTTAGAGACTCCAGCCTTATTTAATTACAGAAAGCAGGGTTCACTGCAATAGAGATGCACGGTACTAAATCCAAGAATCTATATTCAGAATATCAGGAGATACCCAGAAAGAGCCCCCTAGGAATCCTGATGCATGTGAGACCATGTCACAGACTGGCGGCACATAGTAGGTCCATGCAGCATCTATGCCTGGAGCGGAGACATGTAGGCCAGTGCCCTCTTTTTCCAGAGGAAGAAACAGACTCAGAGAGGAGGCCTGTTTTGTTCAGAGCCATGTAGGGAACTAGGAGCCGGAGGCTGCTCTCTTAACTCAAGGCTCTAGGGGACCTCCTGCAAAGGCCCTGGCCCACTGCCTGCAGCTGGAACAGTCTGGCTTCTAAGCTGGCATGAAATGGTATACTGAGTCAGAGGAGCCGAGACTTTTGATGATGGCTTTTTAAAAGGTCTCATTCCACAGGAGCATCGAGGCAGGAAAGCCTTGATTGTGGGGCTGATCTGGCCATGGTGGTGGGATTTTTAGTACTACCCTAGTAGATATGTTTACCTTGTTGATGTCTTCATTTCCATTTTTTCCCAAGTCTGGGGGAAGGGATTACCTTTGTCCAGCAGTTGAAGATGGGGAAAAGAGGTGAAGAGGTTGGCCTGAGGTCTTAGCAAGGGCCTGATTTGGACATGGTTCTCCACTTTATAAGCACCCTCACTTTTCTACTTGTCATAGAGTGCACATGACCCTTTGAGGGAGAGCTTGCAATCTATTTTAACCTAGTGCAGCCAGGAAAGTTTCTGAATGGCATTCTGGCTTAAAAAGACTTTTAATCAATGCTATTCTTAGCTAATACTGTAGTTGTGACTGTTCCCAGTGAGCTACAGCCATGCCTCTGCTTGTAGAAGTGGAGTCCCCATAGTACGTCCTTGTCTCCTAATGACTATTTTTCTCTTTGCATTGGACCAGGGAAAGCTGATTGGCATCTGTGGCAGCGTGGGAAGTGGGAAAACCTCGCTCATTTCTGCCATCCTGGGCCAGGTGAGGCATTTGCCATCCTTCACTTGCCTCAGGGCATTCTTGATTTCTGAATTGTTCAGAAAGTTTTGGTAGGGAAGGGACATTCCTGCATGCAGATTCTCATCGTTCCCTGTAAACTCCACCCTGGGATCGTAAGGATCCTGCTTCCTGTCTGCCCTTTGTAAAATCCACAATCACCCAGAGAGTTTTCATTGCGTGCAGAGCTGTTCATCATTCCACACAATCATTGTCCCTGGCCCCCAACCCTAGCTCCTCCTTGTGCCCCCTGGGACCAGGCTGAATCTCCATGGAAGGTGGCTGGTGCTGGGGGTACTGCAGGCCTGGGGGAGCCAGGGCACAAGCCTTCTGTGCTCCCTGGCACAGCTGGTCTGCCTCCTCCCAGCTGTGTGGCCATGGGTGTGATGGCTTGTTAAGGTGTCAGTGAAGAGACAGGCTGCTGGCAGAGGTGCCCATGTGCGTCTGTAAAAACAAGAGACACTCTTGGGTTTGCTGGGCTGCTCAGATGCACTCTGAGCTCTTAGTGCCAACGACCCAACCCAAAGAACACCTTGTGAGTTTTTCATGGACCTGTCTCTTTTTGTCCCCTCAATCTTTGGACGGCCTTGTGTTTTCTTCTTTTGTGCTATTGTGAGTCATGTGCCCTGTCCTCTTGTAGGCTGTGAGCTCTTTGAGGGGCAGGGACCTTGCCTTATCTCAGTCAATACTCTGTACACAGTAGGCCCTTAAGATATGTTGGGTGTGTTGAGTGAAGCTTGTGTTTTGGGTGTGATGCCATTTGGCAGTCTCTCTCTCTTCCCCTTAGATGACCCTTCTAGAGGGCAGCATTGCTGTTAATGGGACCTTTGCTTATGTGGCCCAGCAGGCCTGGATCCTCAATGCCACTCTGAGAGACAACATCCTCTTTGGGAAGGAGTTTGATGAAGAAAGGCAAGGAATGTTTGGTTTCTGACCTTCCTGACTCGCCTTCTTGGGGTCAGCCAGAGACAAGACAGCCTCAAGTGGTGGCACCTTTCTGCAGCCTGTCCCTGACCCCAGGTCTCTTTGTGTCCTTCAGATATAACGCTGTGCTGAATGGCTGCTGTTTGAGACCTGACCTAGCCATCCTTCCCAACAGTGACCTGACTGAGGTACCTTAAGAAGGAAAGAGTGCTGTTAGCCTGGGGCATCTGGCTTAGGGTGGATGGAGGGGACCCCAGAGGTCACAGAGTCCCAGCTCCCCTTTTGACAGAAGCTCCTGCCTGCTTGCCCAAGGTTACCTGAGTAGGGATCAGCAGACCTTACGCCAGCTTAGGACCCAGGGCCTTTTCCTCTCTGGGCCGTGCACCGTCTGGCCGATTTTGTGGGAGCCGATGCCTGGGCAAAGCCGGGCTGAACCGCTCTTTTTCTCAGCCTCCTACCACAAAGGGAGGGCGGGTGCAGTGGGGAGAGGGTCAGACTTGGAGTCTGGGGCCCCAAGCCAGGACTCTCCTTCAGCCCCTTCCTTTCTGACTGGGCAGTCTGGGCAGGCCCTCCGCTCTCCCAGAGCTGCCATTTTCTTTCTTTCTTTTTTTTTGTTAAATTTTAAATTAATTTATTTATTTTTAGTTTTCAACATTCACTTCCATAAGCTTTTGAGTTTTAAGTTTTTCCACCTCCCTCCCTCCTCCCCAAGATGGCATGAAATCTGATATAGGCTCTACATATACATTCTTATTAAACATATTTTCACATTAGTCGTGTTGTAAAGAAGAATTAGAATCAATGGGAGGTACCACAAGGAAGAAGATATAAAACAGAACAAAAAGAGAGAGAGCAAATAGTCTGCTTCTATCTGCATTCAGATTTCATAGTTCTTTCTCTGCATGTGGATAGCTTTTTCCATCATGAGACTTTTGGAGTTGTCTTAGATCCTTGTATTGCTGAGAAATGCTAAGTCTGTCAAAGTTAGTCATCGCACAACATGGCTGTTACCGTGTACAGTGTTCTCCTGGTTCTGCTCACTTCACTCGGCATCAGTCCATTTAAGTCCTTCCAGATTTTTCTGAAATCCACCTCCTCATCATTTCTTACAGCACAATAGTATTCCATTACATTCATATACCACAACTTGTTCAGCCATTTCCCAGTTGATGGGTATCCTCTCAATTTCTAATTCTTGGCCACCACAAAAAGAGCTGCTATCAATATTTTTGTCCCTGTGGGTCCTCTTCCCGTTTATATGATCTCTTTGGGATACAGCCCTAGAAGTGGTGTTGAGAACTGCCATTTTCCCAAGCATCCCAAGGACGCGTTACGCGTTGTCGGCAGCTCACAGGGCCTGGTCTCACGCCCTCCTCAGGCCAGGTGAAGTCTAATTCTGGAGGAGTTGGCCCAAAATCTAGAGCAGAGAAAGAGCTCATTGAGGACAGTGGCGAGAGGGCTTGGGTCGAACCCCTGGCTCTGCCTTGTAACTTTGGACAGACCAGCAGATCTTGGGGCCTCCAATTCCAGGGTGCTTGGAGTTTTATAAAGAGATCTTTACAAAAGTCTCTTAGCCTTTCATGGCATGACTTCACATGTATAACCTGTATCAGATTGCTTGCCTTCTCAAAGTGGGGAGAGGAGGGAGGAAGGGAGAGAATTTAGAACTCAAGATTTTAAAAAAGCAAATGTTAAATTGGTTTTATATGTAATTGGGGAAAAATAAAATATTAACAGGAAAAAAGTATCTTTGCACATGAGTAAACCAAGGCCCAGAGAGGTCAGTTTCTGGCTAATAGGTGAAATGTGAGGCCCACTGTCCTCTCTCATGGGCTGCTGCCCCTCCCGTTCATTGTCCTCCCCTCTGTAAAATGAGGCCTGGAATGAGCTGACCAGTATGGGCTGTTACCCTCTGGCTTTCTGTGACTTTAAATGACCTTCCCATTGGTACATTTGGTGCGTGACTGATGGGTTGTAGCTGCATCTCTCTCCCATAGGTCAGTTTCTTTAAGACCCCTTTAAGCTAGGAATGCCCCTTCCTCCTGAAGCATAGCTACTCTTTTAGTCTAAAGCCCCAAGAGAGGGAAGGAGGGTGGTCTTGCTTCTGAAGTGGACCTCTCCTTGGGAACTCGGTATCTCAGTATTCCCTCTTCAGCAGTGGAGAGAGACTTGTGCAGCTCAGTTCAGCTTTGGCTGTGTTGGGTAAGGGCCTAGATCTGATTACCTCCAGGGCCATTAGCTAACTCATCATTGTAAGCAAACTGATTTCCTCATAGCCATTGGTTACTTAGTAAACATATTTGAACCCCACTATCCTTTCCTGACTTGGCTTTTCGGAGCTGTTTTGGAAGGTGACCTGGAGGCTGTTCTGAATTTCCTTGTCCCATTCCAGATCGGTGAGCGTGGGGCCAACCTGAGTGGAGGACAACGCCAAAGGATCAGTCTGGCTCGAGCCTTGTACAGTGACAGGAGCATCTACATCCTGGACGATCCCCTCAGTGCCTTAGATGCCCACGTGGGCAACCACATCTTCAATAGTGCCATCCGAAAATACCTCAAGTCCAAGACTGTCTTGTTTGTTACTCACCAGCTTCAGGTACGAGGTCCCCACCCGAAGCTTCTTTCCTGGCTCCTTCCTGGGCGTCATGACATGGAGATTTTATTTTCAGTTTTCCCTATTTTTGGTAAATGGCACTGAGTCCCAGTGCCAAATGGAAAGAAAAGAGCCCACTTTGGGAAAGGTGCTAGTCTGGAGTCCACAAGTAAAGGGCCTGAGAGTTTTGGAGCAAGGATAGAACACTTGGCAAGCCTGCACAAAGCTCATGGTAGAAAACCAAATCTGCTCGATCTTGCTGCTCCATGTGGCAGCTCTGAAGCAGACTCAGCTGTTTTCTATAAATGTTTGAATACATCATCATCTGTTGTGGAGATGAAGGAAAACTGAGGACCGCTCGCTCCAAGTCTGCACGAATGCAGCGGGCGAGGAGGGATTCTGGCCCAGCACCCATGTGGTGTCTGGACAAGGTGTCAGGGAAGCAGACACACCCTTCTGACTGAAGTGGTCAGCTACACTTATTAAGCATCTGTCAGGTGCCAGGCACTGTGCAGAGTGTTGGGGCTACAAAGAGAAAAAAGGCAAAGGACACAGCAGTCTGATGGGCAAGGCCACTTTTAAACAAGATATAGACAGGAAAAATTGCGGGTGGCCCCAAGACTCAGGAGGACTGGGAAAAGCCTCTTGCAGCAGGCATGAGTGAAGGTAGAGAGGAGGAGGGAAAGTGGATGCTGTCATGGCATGGGGACAGCCAGGGGAAATGGCTGGAGCCATGCCAGGAGATGGCTGTGAACCCTCTTGCTAAGGACCCTTAGTGAGATGATGTCTCAGTGGCTCTGGGCTGGGAAAGGGGCTGACTGCTCTGCTGGTTTCCTCTTCAGTACCTGGTTGACTGTGATCAAGTGATCTTCATGAAGGAGGGCTGTGTCACTGAGCGAGGCAGCCATGAGCAGTTGATGGACCTGAATGGCGATTATGCCGCCATTTTTAATAACCTGCTCCTGGGAGAGACCCCCCACATTGAGGTGAGCTTGTTGTGTTCACATTGCTTCTGGGATTTGTGTAGCTCCCCTGGGTCAGAAAGGAGCTGAGACGGAAGCCAGTCCGTGTAGTTTGTGCCCAGGGGCTGCCTTAGGGTTCCTGTGGGGTCATGCTGTGATGTCGCTGCCAGTGTGCCCCATTAGCTGCGCAGGGGTGAGCAGTAGCCATCCTGCCATGGTCTCCAGTGGAGGACGGATGGACAGATAGATGCATACCATGGAGGGGATGGAAGTTCATAACCTGTTGTCGTTTACCAAAAATCCTTCCTGACTTAGGGCTAGAAATGTAGGGGTCCCGGTGAGCGCTCAGCCACTGCAACTCTTGTCGCTGAAGTTTCTGTGTGTCTTTTTGTTTGAGAACCTTCTCGAGTGGTGGAAACAAAACCTTTTTCCGGGAATGTTGAATCTGGCCCAGACACTCAGATAATTCTCCTGTAATTCAATCTGGGTCTGTAAGCCTTCCACTCACCATCATGGGAGGACACCCTGTTGGTCACTTTTATTCTGTGGTCCTTGCCTTTGATGTCATGGAAACAGTCAGCACTGTGGGAAAATTCTCTATTTCTGTTTTGATTTCTATAGCGTACTTTCATGGAGGGTCTCTAGGCACTTTGACATCTTCAAAATATTTCTGTAACCCTAGAGAGGTAGAGAGGAGGAGAAGCAGATTAAAAAACACATGAAGAAAGAATACTAGAATTGGTATAATAAGTCTTCATTTAGATATATTGGTGCCTCATCCTAAAGAAAAGACGTGGTCCAGATGTGGGTCCTGATTCTTAACATACGGGTCGGCCGTACTGTCCTGTTCCGCCAGACCCCCTGAGGCATCAGACTAGGCTAGGCTGGGGCAGAAGGGGAAGGGGAGGAGGGGAGATGAAGAGACTGACAGAGAGGGGCCCTCTGGTCTTTGGTGGTTTATTTGGCGGCCTCTCCAGTCTTCATGTGAATGTTTGCCTGGCAATGGCGTGATGGGTTGATTTTTGTTGTAATAGATTACCTCCAAAAAAGACACAAGCGGTTCCCAGAAGAAGCCACAGGACAAGGGCCCTAAAGTGGGATCTGTGAAGAAGGACAAAGTGGTGAAGCCAGAGGAAGGTAATGACCTCGGCCAGCTTTAGCTCCCTTAGGTGGAGCTGTGTCACAGATCTGGCTCTTCTGAGGGCACAGATGTGCAGGCTCAGGCATGATCTCAGCAGGCCAAAAGGCAGGTGTGTTGTGGTCCACAAAGATGGGATGCTTCAGGAGCTCATTCCTGCCCTTGCGGGGCTGGGTGAGAGTCGGGGAGGGGGTGGGTATTACCGTGTGGTTATCTTTTGCCAGCCAGCCAGTGGCACCTAGACATGTGTGTGTCTGTTACCATTAAGGTCAAAGTATAGCTGTAACTGAGATTAGAACAACATTGAAGAACATGCAGCCCTTCTGCAGAGTCTGGGGCAGGTACACAGTGTTGTAATGGGGGCCTGGCTGTGGGATGGAATTGAGAATCACATGCCTAGAGGCTTGAAGAGCCGCCCTGCCCGCCTTGGCTAGGTGGAGGGTGGAGGGTTGGGGCAGGGGCTGGGGTGTTGTCAATGGTAATGAGGATTACGGCAGTCAGTGCTGGAGGGTGGGTTGCAGATAAGCAGACCCCAGCCCTGCCCTGTCCCATAAAGACTCAGGGAGGCTCATCTTGCTGAAGCTGATTCTCAGCACCACTAAAATAGAAAGCCCCCACGTGGAATCTGTTGTGTTGTCTTTAGTTTTTTTAAATAAAATTTTATTCTTTTTCAAGTTATCAAGGATTTATTCTTTCCTCACCTCTCCCCACCCCCCAAAAAGAAAAGAAAAAAAAAAACCTGGTAACAAAGCACAGTTGAGCAAAAAATTGGTCATATTCTCATTCTTGTGCATCATGTTGTACATCCGGACCAACTCCTTGATACCTTTTTTTAAATTGATATTTTTATTATGAATTTAAACATCTACAAACACAACCATTTCAATATGCAAAAAAACACAAAGAAGATTGTTGGGAAATCTTGGATGTACAGTTTATTTTTTTGTCCACATTCATTTCACCACGATAGAACCCACCTGCCCTGCTTGAGCGTAGCTCCTTCCTCTCATCTCTCCCACCTTTTTGTCACTCTCACCATCACCATCCCCTTACCTTCTCTTTAACAAATAAGTAAGTTAAGGAAAAGAAGTGCCCACAGCAGTGCCTAAAAATGTGCAGGGTGACATTTCTACTGGCTTGGGGCTGCAGGAATTCTTGAATGTCTTCCCTGGGATGATCAGATCACTCATGAGACTTCCTGGTTCATTTCTCTGGCGAGAGCTCTTCTCCAGCCCTTTCCTTTCTGGAGACAATAATTAGGTTTTATTTGTTTAACAAAATTTTACTGATGGTTTTTGTTTTCACACGGCCTAAATTTCCCCTTGGATTCCTCCCCTTGCCAGAGAGCTCTCTCCAGTAACAAAAGCTTCTTACAATAACCTCTGATGAAGAACAGTGAAATAACAGGGCAGACTGGAGACGTGGGCTTCTGTCACGGCCCACCTGTGGACAGTGCGGTTTGGTGCTTACCCTTTAGGACAGCCTTTCACATTCACCGACAGCAATAATCTTAGATGCTCGAGATGGCTGTCTCAGCTAGAGGTGTTCTTTCCAGCTTTCCCTCTCCCAGGAGGCCTGGAACACTCCCTGTGCTCTAACTACTGACCTCCCTGGCCTCCTTTAAATCTCAGTTAAAATCCCACTTTCTACAGGAAACTTTCCCCAAGCCCTCTGAATTCTAGTGCCTGTTTAACCCACATAGAGCTTGCTTTGTACATATCGGTTGAGAGCAAAAGCTATCTTTTACCTCTTTTTGTATCTGCAGCAATTAGCACAGAGCCTGGCACAGAGTAGGTGCTTAATAAATGCTGACTGATTGTGACGATGTGCTGTCCCCCTCCTCATCTTCATCCTCCTAGTCAGGTCGTACTTGAGGATTATAAGCACTTGTCAGGTTCTTCCAAGATGAGAAGATGGCGGCTCTGGGGATGGACGTGGCCTTGTCGGCCAAGGACTAGCTAGACAGGGCCAGGTGTCTGGCTACGGCAGCTCGTTAAACTGTCCCCTGAGTCCAGGAAGGTTGGCTGAGCCACTTCCCTGCAGAAAGCCCCCAGACCCCAGGACGGCAGAGGGCTTGTGGCTGCTTGAAGTCCCAATGATAAGTTTGATGAGTTAGGAAAGAGAAGTAGCTAGTTGGTAGCAAGGACATTTACCCATTTGCTTGTGAGCCAGACCTTGGAGATGGGTAAGGCCAGCACTGCTCCTGGTGCTCATGTGTCTCTCTTCCTGTTTAAACCAGGACGTCTGATGCAGCAAGAGGAGAAAGGACAAGGCTCTCTGCCCTGGTCTGTATATGGCACCTACATCCAGGCCGCCGGTGGCCCCTTGGCTTTCCTGGTCATCTTGTCTCTCTTTATCCTGAATGTGGGCAGTACGGCCTTCAGCACCTGGTGGTTGAGTTACTGGATCAAACAAGGCAGTGGGGTAAGGGCATATTGACCTGCGGAAGCTGGGAGGCTAGGAAAGGAGCCATCTCGGTGGCTATCCTAGAGGGATTCCTTAGGAGGGAACCCTCTTTGGTTTTCATTTAAAAGAAGCGAATGGCCAGGGTTCCCCAGGACGGAAGAGCTCAGGCCCTAAACTCACGAGGCAGAAAAATCACCGACCAGCTAAAGGGGGAACAGAGTTCCCAGTAAGTATAAAACAAGGCCAGGAGTCAGTTTTCCCCCAACCGGAGGGTCTGAGAGCTGTATTCCCAGGATGTCGTCCTAAAATCTTGTCTGCCCTCACCCAGGAACAGGGAGAGGAATGGGGTGACGCAGAATCACTAACCCTGCCCTGTGTTTGTCACCTCCGTTTCCCTGAGGTGATTTCCGGTTAATCCTCACAGCCCCACCTTGAGATGGGAATAGTGTTTAGTGAGAGCTCTTGGCTGCAGGACTTGGGAAGGAAGTGGCCCACGAAAGCTTAACCTCGGAAGCCTTATGTCCAAACAGAACACAACGGTGACCAGGGGAAACCTGACCCTGTTGAGTGACAGTATGAAGGACAACCCTCACATGCACTACTATGCCAGGATCTACGCCCTCTCCATGGCGCTCATGCTGATTCTGAAGGCCATTCGGGGAGTCGTCTTTGTCAAGGTAGACACCCAGCCGCCCCGTTTAGAGACTGGTGACGCTGGCTCTCTCGATGCTCCTCACGAGTACCTTGTTCAGGTCCTTTCCTTCTTCTGAAATAAGCCACTTGTCAATCACCAATCAGCAAGCATTTATTCAAGGGGCTGGCCTTCCCAGAAGGGTTGCCCGGCAGCCCTGGGGCGATGTCTGTTTAAGTAGCTGTGGTAATCTTGATTTAATTGTTGTTCCTTGAGCAAGAAGTGGAAAGTGGGGGGATAGGGTGGTACCCATGCATTGGCCAGGCAAATGACAGGATTTCTGCCTTGGGTTGGCCCTGAGGGTCTTCGCATCACTGGATGGGCTGAAGCACGGTCGAGGCTGGCTGGCTGGATCCAGGGGCCTGAAGGATGGGTGAAGGGCAGCCAGGGCAGTTGTGCCCCGGGATGGAGCCCGGAGTCACGACTCCGCAAGCTCCCAACGGTCTGTCTCTGGCCTGCGCTCTCCTACCCAGGGAACACTGAGGGCCTCTTCCAGGCTCCATGATGAGCTTTTTCGAAGGATTCTTCGAAGCCCTATGAAGTTCTTTGATACGACTCCCACAGGAAGGATCCTCAATCGATTTTCGAAGGACATGGATGAAGGTATTTCTTGCCTTCCTCCTTCCTTTCCCTTCTTCCCTTCCTTCCTGGCTTCTCTCTCAATGAGTTGCCTTGGGCTCATAGCCTTTGCTGTGGCCTCCACATAGACTTGGCAACCAGCAGCTCCCTCCTATGTCTGGGGGGCCCTGAAAGCTTATCTCACTTGTCACGTGTGATTAAGTAGCTCAGAAAATAATACTTTCAGATTTGCATTTTGGCAAATGGTGTAGATTGTGTGAAGGCCCGCTGACAGGCTGACCGCCTGTCCCGCACCCCCGTGGCCACAGAGGGGAGAAAGAAGAGCAGGTGTGCTGCTTGGGGGATGAGCAGAACTAAGGCAGCAGATGTCGTAGACCCACGCTGTCCTGTGGTTTGGCTTTTTGCTGGTCCCGAAAGTGCGCACACCCTTTGTTCTTCCGCTTTTTCTTTCCCCAGTTGATGTCCGCCTCCCGTTCCAGGCTGAAATGTTTATCCAGAACGTTATCCTGGTATTCTTCTGTGTTGGCATGATCGCAGGTGTCTTCCCCTGGTTCCTGGTGGCAGTGTTACCGCTCAGCATTTTCTTTGCTGTTTTACACGTTCTCTCCAGGTAAAGGATTTCTCATTTCTACAGAAGCAGTCAGCACTTACCCGCCTCACTGCTGCCACGCCTTGACCCTCCTTGACGTTTGCCCCATTTCCTCTCCAGGGTCCTGATTCGAGAGCTCAAACGCTTGGACAACATCACCCAGTCCCCTTTTCTGTCCCACATCACCTCCAGCATCCAGGGGCTCGCCACCATCCATGCTTACAACAGAGGGCAGGAATTTCTGCACAGGTTAGTGCTCTGTGTGGCCAAGGGCTGGAGAGGTAGTCACCACCCTGGCAAGCCGTCTTCAAGGCTTGAGAGCCTAGAAGTCCTGGCGTCTTCAGAAACTTCTTTACAGCATATTTGAGATTAGAGCCTGGGTGAGACCTGGGGGTATTGGGAGCCTGGCGGAACCTGCTGCAGCTCCAGTTCGTTTGCCCTGCAGGAATTGCTCTGAACAAATAATGGAGGAAAAAAATCAGTCTGCTCTCCAGAAGGCGGGCAGGCTACTCGGTCTGTTCATCTCCTGGTTCTGAAAGGCCTAGTCACGTAGACTGGCCGCTTCTCTACATGTGGGGTGAACCTCATGATCCCGCCTGCCCAGGCTGGGTGCAGGCTGTTGTAGCTTCTGCACTGCCCTCACCCAGCTTCCTAACCCTTGAATGTTTGGTTTGTTGTCCTCAAGCCTTTTGTTTACAAAAAGTCAAGCTGCGTGCTTCCCTGCCTCACTGCTCCTACACAAGTCATTGCTGGCTCACAAGCCCTTCCCCTGTCTGGTACCTGGTTCCTGCCCCCATTCTCTCCAGGAAGGTGCTGAGCTGGCTGCAGGCGTAAATCACTCCCTCCTTGGGGCTTAACGTGCTCGTCGTCTGGCCCACAGGTACCAGGAGCTTCTGGATGACAACCAGGCACCCTTCTTCTTGTTCACCTGTGCCATGCGGTGGCTGGCCGTGCGGCTGGACGTGATCAGCATCGCCTTGATCACCACCACGGGCTTGATGATCGTCCTCATGCACGGCCAGATCCCCCCAGCCTATGCAGGGCTGGCCATCTCCTACGCTGTCCAGGTTGGTATCCGGCTATTCGGTAGGGAGGGGCATTTCTGACGCCTCTCGAGGAAGGGGAGAGGACTGCCAGTCACTGGGGAGTGGAGCAGCTTTCTCAGTGGCACCATCGTGGGTTTGGGAGATGAGGCTTTAACACAGCTGCAGATTTCAAATGATTCTGCCAGATGCAGACAAGCTCAGTTGCTGCTGAGGATGAGAGCTCCAGCACTGGCTGACTGCGCTTGGCAATGGACATGCACCATTTGTTCCTTGGCCAAAGTGTTTCCTAGAAACAAGAGGGCACTGATGACTGTTAGAAAGTAAAGATTTCTCAAAGAAGTGGAATTCAATTGATGGAAGGTGTCCTTTTCCCTGATTTCCCCCTTTATTGTCTACCTCTTCCCACCTTTTAAAAAAAAGAATACATCCTCAACATGATTCCCGTTTTCTAATTATTTGTATTTTGCAATAAAAACTGAAAGACTGAAAGCATCCTTCTCAAGCAGTTAGGCCCTTCTTGTCCCCAAGTGGTGGCTAATGTAAAGACCCTGGAAACCTGTTTGGCAGAGAGGTGGAGAGAATCCTCAGAGCCCATCAAGTCCGGTTACGTATGGCTTGAGGTGCTCGGGATGTGGGAGCCTAGATGGAGGCTTCATGCCAGAGTCCTGCTGGAGCCGCCCTTTGCTTGGGCCTGATGCTGTAGCTCAGCTCGCTGCCAGCCTCCTGCTTCCCACTCATCTGCTGTCTCCAGCTACGCTTCTGTTCTAGGGACTAGCAGGTTGGCCTTGCCCTCGTGATTGCTACAGTTAACTTTATTAGTTAAATGCATTGCAGACTTTTTTTCCCCATTTGTTTCCAAGATGTATGAGGAACTGATTGAAATTTGATGAGTAGTCTAAAGGTATGAACAGACAGTTCTCAAGGAAATAAAACCACGCTATTCCTAGCCATATTAAAAATTGCTTCAAATCACTGTTAGAGAAATGCAGACTAAAATAGTTCAGAGATTCTACTTCATACCCATCAGAATGGCAAAGACGGAAAAAAAAAAGGAAAATGATCAATGTTGGAAGGGCATGGGAAAACAGCCACATTACTGCATTATGGGTAGACTGGTGAATGGGTACAACCATTCTGGAAGACAATTTGAAATTCTACACAAAGTCACTACACAAAAAGAATTGAGGAAACCCTTGATTTCAGAGTGACATGGAGAGACTGGGATGGACTGGTATTGAGTGAATGAGCAGAACCAAAGAACGCTTTATTCTGTGACATCCGTGTTAGAGAAGTGAACACTTTTGAGGGCTTGTGTAAAATGAGCAGAGCTGGGAGGTCAATTTATACAAAAACAATGATTAGAAAGTGCTAAGAGCTAGGAGTAGTACAATGACTGCACAGTTTCAAAAGATTGAGGATGAAACACGTTCTGCATTACACAGGGGTGAAGGATTTAGCATCTGGGGTGAGACGTTAATGGTTTTGCGTGTAGCAATTTAGGGTTTGCTTGACTGTGTATTTGTTGTAAGAAATTGGTTTTCTTTTTTCTTTCTCTCCCCCCCTCCCTCACACCCAATTTGAGCGTGTGTAGAGGGAGTGGGGTAGGAGGGAGAGAAGAGTGAAAAAATTGAATACGCTTTCAGATGGGATTACTGTATTATTAATTTTACCTGTTTGCTTTTCTTATAAGAGATCTCATCTCTCATGAAGTAGGAGTATTCTGTAAATACAATGTAAACGAAGCATGTCAATTAAAAAAAACTTTGAAAGAAACGATTTGCTTTAGAAAGTCTAATGTGTGATTCAGTCTAACTATGATAGTAGGGATGTGGGTCTGCACAGAAAATCGGTGCTTTCAGGACTAGTGACAAAAGGAATCACAAGACCCGTAAAACCCAGATGGAGGATTCATCGTTTCTTAATAATGCTTGGAGTGGTTTTGTTTCTATCTGGGTGAATTGTGTTTAGAAAGAATTGGTCGCCTTGCTAAATTAAAGCGCATTTATAGCGGCAAGCAGGGAACCAAAAAGGGCTTTGTTTCTATTGTCTTTTTTTTTTAATCTAATTTTATTTTTAGTTCCAGATTCCCTCCTTCAGCTTTCCCTCATTCATTGAGAAGGCAAGAAAAATAAAACGCATTGCAAGTATAGTCATGCAAACAAATTTCCATATTAACCAGGTTCTGAAAGAAAAGTAAGAAAAAGGGAAAAAGCATACTTCAGTCTGCCCTCTGAATCAGTTCCTTCTCTTTATGGAGGTGGATAGCTTGTTCCATCATGATTCCTTTGGAATTGTGGTGGGACGTCATGTTGTTCAGTTACTAAGTCTCTGACATTGTCGTTATAACGTTGCTGTTTGCGTGGATTGTTCTCCTGGTTCTGTTCACTTCGCTTTGTGTCAGTGCATACAAGTCTTCCCAGGTTTTTCTGAAACCATCACCTTCACCTCTTGTCTTTTCTAATCAACAGCTCACAGGGCTCTTCCAGTTTACAGTTCGACTGGCATCAGAGACAGAAGCTCGATTCACATCAGTGGAGAGGATTAATCACTACATTAAGGTCAGATCTCCTTGGAGTCGGTCTTTCCTTTCTCGTGGGCCTTCCGAAAATAGCTTTCTGGTTTTGGCCACCATAAAATGTGTAGAAGGAAAGTAAAGTTTTCTGCCATATTTTGTCATACGTATGGTGTATGTCTCAGAGAAGTGAAAGGCACCCCTGGACGCAGTTATTGATTCTGTGAGGATTGGGTTCAACTGAGTAACGTGAGCTTATGTAACTTGGTTTATGTAACAACATCCAAATCAATCTTTTCCTTTTGTTATTCCGATTCTTAGCCAGTGGTTTTGACCAGTGGAAATTAGCCAGCAATGTCAGCTGTTTCCCACTCCAGATTTTTGTTTCTCAGCTTATGTGGAATATTTTACTGAGGCTCTAGCATGATTATAGTTAGTAGAATTAGTAAACTTAAAAGTTATTCCCTGATAACTTAGCCTTGCATTATCTGTATATCAGTACTTAAATTTCACAGCTGTCTTATGAATATGATTTTCATGGGCATCTTAAAAATCCCCTTTTTTTGAGCACCTGACTTATGAATGAACTATACATAAAGGAGTCTAGGCCCCAGAGCTCTTTCCATCCCTTGTTCGTAGTGAGGAACCTTTCCCCAGCAAGCTGTGGAGTTAACCGTATCTTTGATGCCCAGGTGTCTGTTCCCCCAAACAGTCAAGGCAGTTCTTGGTTCTGATGCCAGAAAGGAAAGGATGCGTTTTTAGAGTCTCAAGTTGTAACGCAGAATGCCTCTTCCAGGGGAACAGTGTTAGGAATGGGGGTTAAGCGTGGGTGAGGTAGACATGGAAACCTGATGACTGTGTTTAACTTGGAAGGAAAAAGGCTCACTAGTTGTAATTGCCAGCTTACCAGCACACTTCTCTGTTCTCCCTTGACCTGGATTTGTATTTATGTCTGTTTACATTTATCAACTCCTTGAGGTCACATTGCAGGTCTTTATCATCTTAGTGCCTTTCACATTGTAGCTTATCAGTAGATGTTTGTGGAGCTGAATTACACTTATAAAGATAAACGCCGCTGGGTGACGTGCACATATTTCGCATTGACATCTGATTGAAGCTAACAGATGATTACCCTCCACAGAGAACTGCAGATTTGTCCCTCTCTTTCTGGGTATCAGTTTCAAGTTATTACTTTTAGCAGAAATCTGCATATAAAAACAAGGACTGGTATATATTTTTCTCTAATCTGGCCAGTCTTTGGCCTGACTTTACAGCACCTTCTTTTCCCAGACTTCATTTGGATCTCAGGCTCTCGTCCTGTAGTCTGGGCGCAACTCACTAGCTCTCTTCTTGGACACTGATTCAGCACAGGACTAGCTGCCCATCCTAGTGGGGGGAGGGGCGGGGGGATGCCTCAAGCTATGCAGACTCTGGTTTCAGGAACCACACACGGGGCTAAAACATTGTTGGTGATAAGGATTGGCTTCTCGGTCACAAATGTTGTAATTTTAGTCCAAAAGTTGAAGAAAATCAGGACTAGAAAACAGAAATAAATGACCTGCCCAACAAGGTTATTCTGTTACATTGAATAGTCTTGTTCCTGGGGTGAAAAAAGTGAAAAAAGGAGAATTTGTTCTTTGATGGGAGTAGGGACAGCCTGTGGCCACTGTCCTTCAGTGCTGATTTTACTGAGATGGGAAGGCCTGCTGTGATCCCACGGGTCTGTTGGCTTACTCTAAAGAATCTATTGTTTCTCCAGACTCTCGCCTTGGAAGCCCCTGCTCGAATTAAAAACAAGGCTCCCCCTCCTGACTGGCCTCAGGAAGGAGAAGTTGTCTTTGAGAATGCAGAGATGAGGTATCGAGAGAACTTACCTCTGGTCCTGAAGAAAGTGTCTTTCACTATCAAACCCAAGGAGAAGATTGGCATTGTGGGGCGGACAGGCTCAGGTGAGGAACCCCAGCAGGAGGAAGCTGCCTTTACGTTCTGGGCTTTGGTCCTGGCTCTGCTTGATTTGCTCTCCACTTGGGCCCTTCGAGTCCTTCAGTCCAGCTCCCCAAATGAGTGGGTACCGGTGGTCTCAGGCTCCTGTTTGAGAAAGGAAACAGAACAACTGGAGGTAGGATCAACTCGGATTTGATGGAATCCTGGTACCAGGAGATGGAGAACCAGAAAAAGGAAAAGGACCTGGACCAGAGAAAGGGGCCTTCTAGGTGACAAGAGACAAGGGCGGAAGGGCTCTCATAGGCTGTAGAAGCCAGCAGTGAGAGCCAGAAATTAAGCAGTGTCAACATGAAGTAAAAAGGAGGGTGAGGGCCCAAGGCCAATGCCTATTCCACTTGTGAGACTGCTTGCCTTCTTGGTTCACCCCTCTGCCTCCCACCAGACAGGCAGACACACACCCATCCACCTTGGGGCACCCCCAGAAGGCCGGGAGAGTCCCTGGGGACCCGGGCTTCAATCCTCAACTATATCTAGGTGTTTCTGTGAACCACTGGTTCTAAAAGCTTATGTTAGCTTTTCTTTGTAGTTTTCCAAAATTCTCTCTGCCTCCCAAGCCCTTTCTCTGTGTCTCTTATCTCAGGAGCCTGTTCCCCCCGTGAGCTCTTTAGCCCATGTTAGGAAGCCATCCTTTCCTTAACCCAGCACAGATACGATCCCATAGAGCCTCTGACAGCACAGAGGAGCCGAGTGCCAGGGTGTTCTTTTACAAGTGAGGAGATGGAGGCTGAGAGCTGATTTGCCAGAGGTGGGATTCCTAGCCAGGTGTTTGCTGTCCGGACTGCACATCCTGCACCTGGACCACCCCCGGTTGATTTTGCAAAGTCAGTCCCCAGAGGAGGCCTTTTAGATGCATCCTGGCATGCTGGCAGCCCCTAGTCACTTAGTCTGAGCTTTAAACCACAAACTTTTCCTCAAGCTCACTCAGATTGAACCATGAGCTTCCCCTCACAGTCTATCAGATCTATTTATTGAATTCTTAACCAAAAATATTTTTCTTTGATTTGTTCATCTCTCTACGTGATTCCTTCCACTCAACCTCTGCTGGACTTTGTTGGAGGCCTCCCTGGTAGCCTCAGCCCGGCTCTTTGCGTTCAGGGTCTGGAGGATTCATTTCACAGGACCATGGACATCAGAAGAGCCCTTCTACCCTGCTTCTGTCCCTTCTATGTAGAAGATGCAAAATGTCCTTTATTTGAGAAACAGAAAACCTTTGTCTTTCTCCTAAGCGATAGGGATTTTTCCCCACTTGATCCTCAGAAGAGGAATGAGACAAATCCTTTCCTGTACTTAGTCTCTCTCAAGTTCTCTGTTTAACTCAGATAATTAACCTCCACTACCGAGTGGAAACCGGGAAGCTTTTGACGCTTTTTATAAGCCTTTGCTGCATGATTAATAGTTATAGGAAGTTTGAACAAAAACGACCTCTGACATGCCTGTCAGAGGCGATGAGGATGAACCTGTTGTTTTATATTCTCTTGTGTCTCACCAGGGAAGTCCTCTTTGGGGATGGCCCTCTTCCGCTTGGTAGAGCTCTCAGGAGGCTGCATCAAAATTGATGGGGTGAAGATCAATGACATTGGCCTTGCTGATCTCCGTAGCAAGCTCTCCATCATTCCTCAAGAGCCAGTGTTGTTCAGTGGCACAGTAAGGTGAGGATGGAGGCCTTGAGAAGTCGCCACAAGAACTTAAGGCAGATGGCAAACTGTTGTGTTTTCTAAAAATAATTCTGTAGTGGACCTTCTTGACAGATCTTTACTTGGTAGCTTTCTTTGTTATGTGAGGTAAGCCTTGAATGATGGGTAGGATTTGGAAAGGCCAAGTTTAAGGGAAAGTAGGGATACAGTGGAGGGGTCAGCCATCAGCACAGGACAGAAGAGAAGATTCGGTTTAGCAAGCAACCAGTGTTCATTAAGTATCTCCCATGCACAAAGTGTGGCGTGAGAAGCTAAGGTTACTGCGATGAATGCCAGTGATCCCTGGAGGACAGAAGCTTTATGTTTGGCCAGGGGCTGGAGTGGGAGGTGTCGAGGGGAACAGGGAGAGGAGCGTCTCCCTCATGGAAGAGGAGGTAAAACCGACCAAATAAGTAGAGGTCAACCTTGGGTGCAACCTTGGGCAGGGTGTTAAAGAGGTTGGATCAGGGGAGAGTGTGGAATAGGGAAATGCCAAAGATGGGAGGAGATGGTGGGATCCTTGCCTAAGGTCCCTAAATTGGAGAGATTAGATGAGTTTAGAAGCATTGTAAGTGCGACACTTGCATGAATGATTTCTACTTTGAAAGAGGAAGGTATCTAATCTTTGAAACAAACCAGTGATCAAGGTAGGATGTTGGCCTTGCAGGTGCCACCACATGGTGGCTGCAGTGGTGACTTTGACTGTGCAGGCATTGGTTGAATGGTTGGAGAAGAGGGGAGATGGCCAAGGGCAATCCTGGGCTTTTGGTCCCCTGGTAGGCTCTTGGAGCGTAGCCTCTGCCCAGGCCAGGATGGTGCCCAGCAGCTTGTAGGGCAGAATTCCTTTTGCATGACAGTCTTGCGTATTGGTGGGTTGTCTTAGAGGTCTCTGCCCCAGATCGTGGTTTTCAGTTGTCAAGTTCAGGATGCTACTGGGCCAGTATCTGCCAAGAAAACCCAAATGGGGTCATGAAGAGTTGAACATGACTGAAAAAGCAACTGAACAATGAGTGGGGAAAGAAGTCAGGAAAAGTCAAAGTAGAGGGTGGCATATGAGCTGAGTCTTGAAGGGAGCTAGGAGTCTCACAAGGTGGAAGTGACCTGGAGCAAATCACTCTAACCTCTCTACCTCGGTTTCCTCACTGGGGCACCTGCTTTACAGGGGTGTTGTAAGGCTTAAATGAGAGAATGAATTAAAAAGCTTATTATAGAAGGGTCAGCTCTCATTTGTTAAATTCTCACCTCTCTTGAATTAGTGAGGAAGCTCGAGTAATTATGGAGCACTTGCAGGTGCCAGGCACATTTTGGGCTCGGGGCATATAAAGATAAACCCCTCTCCCTCTCCCTGAAAGTCATTTACATTCACATGTCTGACCATTCCACTGGGCCTTGTAAAGGAGCAGGGTCCATGCCCTCTAGCACGGGCCTCTTTCAGTCCAATCAAGCAAAAACCTTTTAAACACTTACTCTGTGCCGAGCTCTGGGGATACAAAGGCAGAAGTGATGCAACGCCTGCCCTCGAGGAGCTTTCATTTTTCTGAGTCAAGGGGTTTTAAGGTCTTGATAAGAGTCAGTTATTAAGAATGAGAGAAGTGGGAGGCCAAGAACTTGTGGTCAGTTACAGTCGAGAGAGATGTAGGCATCTAAGACATGATCACGTTTGGAACGTGGGTGAAGAAGGACGGGGTTTGTTTACTGGATTATCTGCATGTATTAGGAAAGTCCTGAGGATGGTGTGTTGAAGATCACTTTGAGCCACTCATGGAGAAAGTTGGGAAAGTGCCTTGAAGTCAGGAGAGAGGACAGCCATATGGATGAGAGAGAGGGAGAGGGAGTGTGTGTGTGTTTTGATAGAGGGGCATGTTGTAAATGAATTGTATGGACTTCAGAAAAGCTCACTGAGGGACAGTGGAGGAGAAATGATTTTGAAGCAGAGTAGAGGTATTAGAGAGTAAGGCACATGTCTTCTTGGCCCCATGCGGTAGGCAGGGGGGGTTAGGAGACTGATGCTCTTCAGAACAGGGAGAGGCAAGAGAAGCCTGGTCATCGCCATAGCCCCTTCAGGCGACAGATCTCTGTGCCTTCCTGGACCCTGGGTCAGGCCAACTCAGGCTCCTTGTGCTCTCCCTCCTCCGAGGGAATCCTGATTTGGCAGGCTGTCTGGTTGAGTCTCTCAGTCAGGAACGAGGACTTGATTCTTGTCCTGTAACATCAGACTCCATTTCTGCTCTCTAAGATGAAATGTCGCTCTGTAGCTGTCCACGGGCTTATATGACTTCTCAGCTTTCACTTGTGCCCTCTAACTCCCTCCCTGCCACCAGGGGAAGTGATGGCCACGGTCATGTTGGGCCCCTAAAACCTGTGACTGTTTCGTTCGTTCCTTCCTTCCTCTCTTCTGCCCAGGTCAAACTTGGATCCTTTCAACCAGTACAGTGAAGACCAGATTTGGGATGCTCTAGAAAGGACACATATGAAAGAATGTGTAAGTCACCACACCTTCACTGCTGACTCTTTGCCTCAGTGGACATGGGCAGCTGCCCATCTGTGGTTACCTCTTGGAAGAAGGCATGCCCTACTTACTCCCCAAGCGTTTCTCTTCCGAGCAAATGCTTGTAGGGCCGGGTTAGGTTGTCTGTTGGCCCTCTAGATCTGTCTCCTGCTTCTCATACAGACACTGGGCAAGGCGTGGAGGGGTGGAGCCAATCCACTGGCCTTAGTTGCATTCCCTTTCCTTCTCTTCAGGTTGCTCAGCTACCTCTGAAACTTGAGTCTGAAGTGTTGGAGAATGGGGATAACTTCTCAGTGGGGGAACGGCAACTACTGTGCATTGCGAGAGCCCTGCTGCGGCGCTGTAAGGTAAGGCCCCTGCATGATTGAAGGGTGTCTTTCCTACTCTGCGGGGTACAAGAGTCCTCGAGGCGTCCATGCTTCCAAACTTTCTGGCAGTTTTGGAAAGTGTGCCCTGGTGAAGAAGCTGTTGGCTTTGTGCTTCAGTGAATTCTCAGGCTCTCCTGGTGGTGGACCACAGATGAGCTGTTGTATTGGGAACAAATGATTGCTAACAACTCCTGCAATTTCCACCCATCTGCAACCACACTGTGGCCCATCGATAGGTGCTGATACTAGACGAAGCAACAGCGGCCATGGATTCCGAGACCGATTTGCTGATTCAGGAAACCATCCGGGAGGCCTTCGCCGACTGCACCATGCTAACGATCGCTCATCGCCTGCACACGGTTCTGGGCTCTGACCGTATCATGGTGCTGATGCAGGGTCAGGTAGAGCACAAGCCCTCCAGGGGCCCCGCGCCCACCCCGCATGGTGCCCCCTCAGCCCTGTTGAGAGGTCCGAGGTGATGACACTTCGAGAGGATGACTGGGGGAAAGCTGGGAAGTCTTCTTGGATAGACTGATTTTGCTCTGTCCCTTTTGGCACTACACGGTCAGGGTGGCACTCGTGCAGACGAGGTGACTGGACGCCCAGGCTCTTGGCTGGGCCTCGGAGGTAGACGACACTATCCTCTCGGGCTCCTCCCTGGGGCGGGGCCTGGCCGTCCTCACCTAGAGGTGAAAGGGGCCCGTGGAGGTGGGTGTGGCAGGGCATCCTAAAGCTTCTCCTTCCCGCACTGAAGTTCCCTTGGACACCAGTGTCTTCTGTCATGAGCCTCAGCAGCCTCCTGAGTTAGTAGTTACTGAGGGCCCTTCGTGCGCGTGGTATGTGAGAAGTGTTCTGGATGGGAAAAAGCAAAGATTTATAGACTATTAGAAGTGGAAATGGCTCAGAGGACATTGAGTCCAGCTTCCTTCGTTTGTAGATGAGGAAACAGGCCTAGAGAGTGGAGGGGACTTTGCCAAGGTCATCCTGGGAGTGAGCTGGAGGGCCAGGGCCTGATGTTAGCCCGCAGTGCCTCTGCGGTCCCTCTGTGGGCAGCCGGTGAGCACGGCTTAATGGAATCCTTTCCCTGCTTTTCCTTTCAATGAGAAAGTATCAAAGGGAGGCTATAGCAAAGGCACGTGAGAGCCCAGGGGCTCCCAGCCCATGGAGCAGCCTGGCAGTCAGAAACCTGAAGATCTGCAGGTGACGTCTAGGTTGTGCCTGCAGTGGAAGAAGGGGACGATGCGGCAGACTCTGGCCTCCCCGTCGTTGTTTAGAGCCTAGTTCTCCACCTGCTTGGCTTGTGTGGAGAGAGGTAGAAGCTTCAGGGAACCCCCAGACCCTCCCAGCCCCGCTTCCGGCAGCCCCTCGAGCAGGGGCTTGGTCCCGTGAACCGGGATGAGTTCATCCGTGCTCTGCTCCTCTCTTCCAGGTGGTGGAATTTGACACTCCGTCTGTGCTCCTGTCCAACGATAGCTCCCGATTCTATGCTATGTTTGCTGCTGCGGAGAATAAAGTTGCTGTCAAGGGCTGATGTCCGTGACTGGGTGTTGCCTTCTGGAAACATCCCCTAACATCCCCTGCCTGGGGCAGGGCCTGCATCACTTTTACTCCTATCGAAACCCAGATCTTGCATTGCCCAACTTTTAAAACTTTGGCACAGCAGTTCAGGACTAGCTTGTGTTTCACTATAAGGGAGATTCATGTTTTAATTATTGTATTTATTCCATATTCATACAATCCTAAACTTTGTTTTTGTCCTTACTTGCACTCTAAAGGTTCAGGGAACCATTATTATCAATGTCTCAGAGGCCTAGAATGCAGCTTTATCCATGTAGCTCTATCTCTACACGATTCTGTACATAGCCTATATTGACAGTGAAAATGTAAACTTCATTTTCTGTTAAAATGAGCACCGTACTCATAGGGCATCCTCCTTTCTATCCCTTCCATACACTCTGCTGTACTGAGATCTGGATTTGCTCTCAGACTGTAGAAATGTCAGTGATTGGCCTTTTTTAAGCTGGTCTCTCTCGGTGGTGGCAGATCTTGTATGTGTCAGAATGGATGGACAAGCGTGGCAGCAGTCTGCCCTCCCGGAGGCTCCAGTGAGGTTGGGTCCTGGAAAGGGAGACTGCCAGAGGACGCGGGGCTCGCACCGAAGCACTCAGGGCTCCTGCTTTCTCTTCTGTTTTCACTTGGCTGCCCTGGTGGCCATGGTCGGGGGGCAGGGGCAGCCTGCAACCTGAGCTCTCAGCTCCCACCGCACCAGCCTCCCATCAGCAACGGGAAGCTCAGAAGTGCCCATGGCAGAGGACGCACCTTTCTGTCGAAGAATCACGCCCTCGTGCCCTCCTTCCTCCAGCTCCTTGCTGGGCGGTGGCTGGGGGCTGGGGGCAGGGGGGGCGGGTTTCAGATGGTACTTGGAAGCTCTCCTGTCCCCCTGGCCTCCCACTCTACACTACTATTCTGTGATAGAGTTCAGGATTTTGCAATCCAAAGCCTGCAACACATTGAACTGCTCCTGCTGAGGGATCCGTCACACGCTGAAGTAGAAGCTTGTTTGTTTGCCTTTTTTTAATTGTCAAGAGACCTACCTCCGGTGGTTGACGGCTACGTGCTACACACCTACAGTACATTTCTGGGAACCATCCCGGCCGTGGGGCCTCGCGGTCCAGGGATTGGGGCTGCTGCTCATCTAGCAGCGATTGGCTGAGGAATCAGCGCTGCATGTTTCTGTCTGCTAGACAATTTGTATAACCTTAGCATGTTTGCTAAATTCCTTGTGGAGACAAAGATCTGGGGGGGGGGGGAAATAAAACTATTTTGGGTTTTATAAAGTGGTGTGTACAGAATTTCTCTGGGTGATGCTGTGGCTCCTTGGTGGGCACTGCCAGGGCCCGTGGTACGTTGTGGTAGCAGTTGTATCTGAAAAAGATCCTGTCTGAGCTTGTGAGTGAGATCACTGACTGGCCTCCGTGTCTGTTAGCTGGCACATGGGATGGTCATGTCAAGGCAGATTGATTTCAGCCCACCTCATCTGGATGGGGGTGGTGGCAGAAAAGCTTTTAACAGCTTATATGGTGGTCCTCCCTGAAGCCTGTACCTGAGGTGCCTTCAGCTGGTAGAGGCCTGGCAGAGATGGTGCTTGCCGGCAAACCCTTCGGAAGCTCGGGTCCCCTTGAGCATTGCACATTGGAGGGGAAATTGAGTTGGTTCCCTTTTGTAGAAACTTGTTCCAGTGGGCCCCATGGTGGAAGACAAGTCAGAGTAAGGGCCCTCACACTAGTGGGGGCATATCTGAACCTACTGCGAGTGGCCATCTGTGCTTTGGAGCAGTGACAAGAAACTGCTGCCCACGGCAGCCCCATTTTGCTTTGGGGGTCATCCAGAAGCTTTCCTGGCATCAAGCTGAAATCGGCCTCTTTCATCTACCCATCACCCCTGCTCTGTCTGAACCAACTGGACCAATCCTGATAGCCTTTCAAATGCCTGAGGCGGCTCTCCCGACCCCTACCCCCACCCCCAGCCCCAATCTAATCAGATAGAAGAATGGAAACTTCATTCCCAGTGCTACAGGTCCCCAGGCAGGTTGTGCTGGGTTCCGTGAAGTCCTCGAGTCTTGTCTCGAACAAACCCACTGACGTAATCTCGTGCTTCCACCTCTGGTTATCGAGCTGGACTCCAATGCTAACCTCATCGACAGAATGATGGTCAAGCGTTCATGCGCTGGCCTCCAAGCCTTGAGTTCCCTTTGACGTACACTGGCCATGTGACCATAAGAAGGTGCTTGTCCTCACGTAGGGAAGGGGCTGACCAGCGGTGGCAGAAGGAGTTAGCTCCTGCTCTCTGAGAAATCACAGGTTTCTGCCATCTGATGGCCCCTCAAATACAAGACAGGAATCGGATCTTTTCTAGACCGTCTCACCCGGGCCTCAGAAAACTACTCAGGGCACCACTGGGAGTGAAGCTAAGGTGAAAAATCGAGGTTGCTGCCTTCACTCTCAGCGCTTTGGCTTTAGTGCCGGAGCAAGACAGCCGAGTCTGGGCAAAAGGCCAACGCTAATAGTCAAGGAAGGCCCAGGGCCACAGGTGTCTGTTCTAGCCCCGGAGGGAGGAATGAGTGCACCGAGAATCCAAACACAGGCGTTGGGAGAGGGCAGCTGCTGAAGGCCCGTCTGAGACCAGGGGGTGGAGGGATCCAGTGCCAGCATTTTGATCTCACTATTGTCTTTTGCAGATTAAATCGACGGCTCGATGAACTAGTCTGACCAAAAAACATGTGTTATTAGAAAAACATAGGTGTGATCCTTGCCCTTGGCGACGGGGAAGGGAGGAAGCAATTTCCATTGCTCAGTCCCTTAAGATGTGTTTATTCACCTAAGAACAGGTGAAAATGCCAGCAGGGGGTAGAGGCTTAGGGAGCTAATGGGGAGGGGAAGAGGCCCTTCAATTGGCCTAATCCTTGTAGGTTACTGGGGAAAAGGGGAACGTTGGAAGCATAAGGTGGGGAGAAAGAATTAAAAAATGTAACCGCTGCCTGCAGTGGGCAGCTAGGTGGTGCAATGGATGAAGTGCCAGACGTGGAGTCAGGAAGACTCATCTTCCTGAGTTCAGACACTGTGACCCCGGGCAAGTCACTTCACCCTGCTTGGTTCAGTTTCCTCATCTGTCAAAAGAGCTGGAGAAGGAAATGGAAAATTGTTCCAGTATCCCCCAAATAAGGTCACGAAGAATCAGACACACCTGAAAAAAACGACTGAACGTGAGCTTGTACCAGTTCGTACTGCTATTTTTTTTTTTTTTACTTTTTGGTGAGGCAGTTAGGGTTAAGTGACTTGTCCAGGGTCACATAGCTAGTAAGTCAAGTGTCTGAGGCTGAATTTGAACTCGGGTTCTCCTGACTCGAAGGCCGGAGCTCCATCCACTGTGCCACCTAGCTGCCCCTGTGCTGCTATTTCTTTAGTTAAATGAGGCGTCCCATTGCATTGAAAAGATTGTTAGGAGTTGGAGGACCTGGGTTTTCTGGACCTGGCTCTTCTGGGTACTCCCCGTGTGACCCTGGGCGCTTCACTTCTCTGGGCTTCAGTTTCCTCATCTATAAATGAGGAAGTTGGACTAGGTGACCCCGAAGACCCTTTTCAGCTCTGAACCTCGAATCTATGACTGCACTGGAGGCTGTGAAAAATAACACCAAAGCTGTTGTTCAGTTAATGCTGTATAAGAATAACTAACCTTTAGGCAGCGATGTAAAGTTTGTAAAGTGTTTCACCTATTTCATTTGAGAGAGAAAAGAATAAGCATTTTTAAAGTATCTACTATGTGCCAGGCACTCTGCTAAGCGCTTTACAAATATTATCTTATTTGATCCATACAACAGCTCTGGGAAGTAGGTGCTATTGTCACCCCCATTTTACAGTTGAGGAAACTGAGGCAGACAGGTTAAGTGATTTGCTCAGGGTCACAGAGCTAGTATTCATGAGTATCTGAGGCTGGACTTGAACGCAGGTCTCCCTGACCCTAGGCCTAGAGCTCTATCCACTGCACCACCTGGCTGCCTCACAACAACTTTATGAGGTTGTGACTGTAGGTATGGTCCCCTTTTGTAGATTAGGAAACTGAGGCTCATAAGCATTAAGCGACTTGCTCAAAATCACATAGCTAATAAGCATCGGAAGTAGAATTTGTTCTTTTTTGATGAAAATTTTTAAATTGTGTTCAATTTAAATTGAATTAAGTTGAATTTTTTTTTCAATAAATAGTATTTATTTTTTCTCCCCCTCGTTTCTACATCCTCTACCGAAGAAGAAAAGAAGAAAACAAAACTTGGTAACAGTATGTGTCGTCAGGCAAAGCAAGTTCCCATGGTGGCCGTGTTCCAAAATGTTTGTTTCGTTCTACATCTGGAGCCCATCATTGCTGTCAGGAAGTGAGTAGCATTGTGGTTCACCATGGTCACGAGTGGTAGAATTTGAACCCAGGTCCTTTGGCTTCAAGTTCATTGTTCTCCGCTTCTCCTGGAGAGTGTCTGTGGACCACTCCTTCCTTTCCAGGTGCGCTCGGTGGTGGCTGCTGCAAAGTAAGCATCTTTGTGGTTATAGGGATTTTCAGAAAAGGAACTTCTGGCGGGTCTCAAAATCATGCCTTGCCGCAATGGCCTGAGAGTCACGTGGGGCTGCTGGGCTGGGGGTCAGAGGGCCTTGCTTCGAGTCCTCCTGAGTCCATTGGCCAGTCGACGACTGAGCTTTTGTGTGCCAGGCTCTGTCCTAGAAACACCCACGGACTGCCTGGGGAGGAGATGGAACCTGCACTTAGAATTAGGAATGCAGGTTCAAATGCTGCTTCCAACACTTACTACCTATGTGACCTTGGGCACGTCACTCTCCGGGCCTCAGTTTCCTTATCTGTAAAATAATAAGAGGGTTGGACTAGCCGGGCTTTGAAGATTTCTTTCTGCTCAAAATCTTTGATCTCGCCTTTGATACTTACCACCTGAGACCTTGGACAAGTCCCTTTCCCTAGGCCTCAGTTTTCCCAGTTGTAAAATAAGGGAGCTGTTGTCAATGGCTTCTGAGACCCAGCTTCAGATCTGTGATCCAGTGACATCATCAATGTGACAGGACACACCCCGCTTGAAAAAAGAACAGGCAGATACCGTGGAATTAGGTGCGTGGATGACTGTGGACTTTTATAGTGGAGATTAGCCAAACCCAGCTGTTAAGGGGGTTATTTGGGAAGATCGAACAGTAAGAGTAATGGCTACAAAATATGCCCTTCAAAGTCTGTCACATAGTTCCCCCCCCCCAAATCGGTGTAGAATTCAGAGGAACGTGGGCCCAAGCTTGCAGAGCCATTGCAAAGCAGTGGCTCAGAGCCCCTTGCGGCCTTTTGCCTTGAGGTTCGATGCAGTTGCTAAGTGCCCCTCTGAGGTTTATCAAAGTTTGAAGGTACTTTTTTTTTTGAAGGTACTTTTAATAAGTAATACATACTAAAGATACGTCAGGCACCGAAAGGAAGTCTCTTACCCTAGTCTAGCTCAGAGTGAGAACTAGAGACTTTCTGTTGAGGGAGAATCAATTTTTAAAGGTCTTAGAGTCACCAGAGAGTTAGACTGGGAGCAGGGAGGAGTCCTGCCTAAGGAAAGGCATGAGTATGTGCTGAGCGGCTGTCAGGCGCCTTTCCTCCATTTGTCCTCAGGTCCCAGTGCAGACTTTGTCAGCTGTTCCAGGGACCTTTCGAGGACCACGGCTTGGAAAGGAAGTCCAAAATCCTCTGACTCTCCGAAGGTGGCAACATCCATTAAGCAGGGTTGGGCTTGAGGAAGGAGACTGACTTCTAGCTGGTATAAGGCCAGGCAGGGCAGGGCTCTTCTCCTCCCAAGCAATTCCTTCTCTGGGTTGTGTCTGCAGGTTCCAGCCTAGCAGGTCAGAAACTCAAATTCCTGAGCTTTGAATTGACTTGCTATGTTATGTAAACCCACAGGGCATGACTAGTCTCCTGGACCAATCCAAATACCTCCTAGGCCACATTATTTCATTTCATCCAACGGCTTTCAAGGACTTCTAAATTAACCAAAGACTTTTCACAGTTAGTCTAGAGCAGGAGTTCTTTAAGTTTTTGCATGTGTCAGCAGTCTGGTGAAATCCCTTTTCAGAACGATGTTTTCAAATGTATAAAATAAAATACATATGATTATATTGTTGTTTGGTCATTTTTCAGTGGTGTCCAACTCATTGTGATCCCATGTGGGGTTTTCTTGACGAAGATATTGGAGTGCTTTGCCATTTCCTTCTGCAGCTCATTTT